GGTATGTGTAGACATACCAGTCAGCACCTTCTAATGCTCACAAGTGCCTCACAATTTTGAGAAGAAAAGTAATTAGTCGCAGAGCTGTAAACATGAGAGTGTTAGTTCTAGGCTGTTTGTACACAGAATCTGCAAATCTTTGAATTATTAATTAAGAATAACTCAATTTTTGGGAACATTAGTCTTCAACCTGATATCTGCATGAGATTGGATGTTATGAGAAGTATAAATTTGACTTGATCAAGTACTCCTAGAGGCACAATTGCTCTATTGGTGCAGGAAGCATTGGGTGTTTATTACAGTTGTCTGAGTTGAAAAGGAAAGATGAACATTCTGAAGTTTTGCTTGCTGTTTCTGAGGATGGTAAATAGGTGGTGTAAAGCACATGAGGCCCAATTGTCTACACAGTATTTGAATGTAAAGACATTTTTTACTTAAAAATTAAGATCAACCAGAATTGGATAAAATTCTTCAATATAGCTTTTATCTGGAAGCCATTTCTTTTAAGAATTGTAGAAAACCTAGCATCTGAATTAAGATTGAATTGCAGATGTCAGACAATAACAACTTCCACTTACTTAGCCCCTTCAAGCAGGGTAGTATCTCAGAGTGCTTGAAGGAAAACTAGATAGATTGCACATGGTCTTTGATGAGAAGGCGGTTTTGTACTGTATGTCTAAGATTTTTTTTAAATCTACTCCATTTTACTATGGTCTTAAGTAGATGAAGAAGAGGAACACCATATGTTTAACTGTTAAAATGTGTGCATCTGTCAGTACGGAGTTACATCTGGTGTGGGGTTCAACACCCTGAAACCAGATTCCATTTCCATAATATGACTTATTTGGAGAAGAAACCTGATCTCTACAGATATCCTATATGTTCCCATTACAGTATCCTCTGCTAGAAGGTGCATGAGCAATAACCAACAATTTCACCAAATTGTCCAACCATTTGAGTCAGTGACAGGGCGTGACAGTGACAGAGTCAGGGCGTAAATTAAGTATTAGCAACAGAAGTAGAAGAGAAAAATTTGAAGATTTGTTACAATATGGAATGCTTTACCACATGGGTCTATAATATAAATATAAAATATAATCCTTACATTTGATATAGCCCCTTATCACATCTTCGAGATGTCTCAAAAGTGCTTCACAGAATATACTGTCAAGTGAATTGACTGTATTTTGTGGGCGAAATGTGGCACCCAATTGCGCACAGCAGTGTCCCACAAACAGTCGTGGATTGAGTGACCAAATTATTCTAATTATTTTTTAATAATATTTGTTTTAATTAATTATAGAAGCAAAGTGAATGACAGCATTTAATTTAGAATTGAATACAAATAATATTAAAGGGTATAACGAAAGTGCAAGGGAATGAGAACAGAACAAATACTTCCAACAGCACAGCAACAGCACAAACACGATGGCCAGATCCTCTCACGTGCTGCACGTCAACCTCCTCCCCTGATTTTCAAGCTTATTTTCACACTTCTGTCAAATTTGTCCCTTCCCCAAAGCACCGAGATGGGGGCTGGATATCGTCTGTTCCAAGGCCTTCATCAACAATTCTGGAAAGCTCAGCGGGGGTTAACTTACTCTTAGATTTTATCACCCTCCATCCTTCTATTCCATGATACATCGCACTAATACATAAAACATGCTATAAGGATGCCTCCCACATACAGTACTAATTAGCAATGCAGTATATTCATTCAGGATCACTGCTGGTGACATCGTAAAACATTTAAACTATAGGAAACAGCTTTGGTTGTTCCAGAAGTTATGTAAATGCCTTCAAATGTTTTTGAATGATAAAGGGCCTTAAGTGTCCACTGTTATGATACCTTTTTAAGGTACAGTACAACATACATTTACATAGTGCCTTTCACATTGAGAACGCGTTTCAAAGTGATTGACATTCACTGATGACTGGCCACCCAAGTTGGGGGGAGGGGGGAGAACTGAGATGTGGAGAGGGGAAAGATGATTGAAAGCATGGTCTAAGAGGTACAATAAAATGTACTAAAACAGTAAATGTAATTTGCACAAATTGTAAACTACATTCTGTAATATTTAAAATATTTAAAAAACAATTGCTATAATTGTTTTAATCATGAACACTATGCCCTACATTTATACCACAAAAAGTAAGTAGAAGAGAGACTCAAAAGTCACATGAAAGAAAAAAAAGGCTTGAAGTGGTATGGGAATAGGGAGAGACAGTGGGATTGAATAGATTGCTCTGAGAGCCCGTGAAAGATCAGTTAGAGACATAATTTTTAGGAGGAAAAATAACAGCTAAAGAAAGTATGGCCAAAGCAATCTAAGTGTAAATCAGCAAACAACTTTAACTTCTAATAATTAACATCTAAATTGAACAAATGGACAGCAAGCTGTTTAGGCAAGTGGAAGAATTCATAGGAAATCAAGTAAAAATTAAAAGAAACTACAAATAACAAAAACTTGAAATACAAATATAAATGATAGAAAGGCTATAGCAAATCATCAGCACTTGAAAACGTTCTGAGGCTGGCCATTGTGTGATTAGATTTAATACGGTGCGGTTGACTACTAAAACCTCAATGTAATGCGGTGTAAATTCTTAGCTTTACATGTTGTGTCTTGCTGCCTCCATAAAATTTCTGGCATAAACTCCTTTTTGGCTGTTTATGATCTGACCACTTTATCTCTAAAAAAAAAGATAAAATCCCTCCACAATTCTCGTAGACCATCCAATGATCTAGAAGTCAGATATATTAGTGTGAAAAGCCAGCCAGCGTACAGGATGTGAGCAGACCTGCTTTTCGCATGTACGGTAAACAGATTCCACAGTACAACCACAGTCTGAGCGAAATATAGTGAAGTGCATTATAAAGGGCAAATTGTAGACTTTTCAAGGAAATTCTAGAATACACGAGGAAATAAGTCACTTCACACTGTACTCTGAGAAGCTGCATAAACATTGAGCTATATCTGAGGCTTGTTATAATAGCAAATGTCAACCTGATATTCAAATAAACCAATGAAACATGAGCCTAGAAATGCTAAACCAATGTAGTGGGAAAAATGCTTGAAAACATTATATGGGATGTTATCCATGTTCATCTAAAGAGCACTTACATGATTTAGTTCATCTAAAGAGGTTTTATAACTAGCATTAGGTCATTCCTGACAAAACCACTGGAATTCTTTGAGGAGGCAACTAATTTAGCAGATAAGGATTATCTAGCAGATCTATTTCACTTGGATGCTAGACATCATTTCATTGAAAAATTCATCTAATATTAGAAATGTTAGTTTGAACTGAAACCTAACGTAGCAATAGGAAGCAGATGATCATAAACGGGATAAAAGGCTGGGAAAAGTACCACAATTAGCAGAATTCCGCAAGGGTCTACTCTCAGTGCTTGCTGTTCATAAATGACTTGAGTAAAGTACTTTTGTAAAATTTAAAAATGTATTGATCCCAAGCTATGGTGGACAACTGATACTATGGTGGGCATTTGATATACGGCAGATTAAAAAGTACTCAAGTTGAGCTTGAGGCACTTTCCAGGTGTTCCAAATGCCGGTTCACCCTCTTGCGAAAAATGGAACGAATGCAGATCAGCCCATCTGACATCCAAATGGCCTTTTTCTGTGCCATAAATTTGTATGGTTCTAACCAACGTGTAACTATCATTTGGGGCGGGAGGGAGGTAAGGGGTGGTCTCTATGGTTGAGGTGGTTCCACGAGACATGCCTGGAGAAAGTAGCACTGGTGAATCAACACTCTGTACCACTGTCAGTGATATTGCTTAGGAACAGCATTGTAGCACATAGGGCTAAGTACAGGCAGCCACAATATTCTAGTGGATACAACTGCTTCCCTTGCGACAGGGTGATGTATTGTTTGGAAGGAAAACGAGCAGGAATGAATAATAGAGGTACATTTTGGAATTTTAGTTTAATCACTTTCAATGATCTTTAGGGAAGAGAGGAATCCACAATGTGGTGGGCTTTCTTAAAATATTCACAGAGCACAAAAAGTCAATTCAGCCCATCATTTCCAGCTTTGAATTGTTTGTGGAATGAACGGTCACAGTGGGCTCAATGGCCTTTACTCATTCTACAGTGGTTAGAGCACTTGCCTTGCAAGCAAAAGGATCTGGGTTCGATTCCTAGGCAGGGTGAAATTTTGGGCAAGTTTCCTTACTCCACACGCCTGTTTATCTAGCAGTAAGTAGGAATCCAGTTGTTAGTTGACTGGCGCATCGATTTTTCGGAGGTAACAATCACTCCAGATTTCTTTTTAAAAAACAATAATAATTTGGTCACTCAATCCACGACTGTTTGTGGGACACTGCTGTGTGCAAATGGCTGCTGCATTTTGCCCACAAAATATACAGTCAATTCACTTTATAGTATATTCTATGAAACACTTTGAGACGTCTCGAAGATGTGATAGGGTGTTATATCAAATGCAAGGATTATTACTTTTTCTCTTCTTAAGCATTTCCTGGTTGGGCACAGCACAGATGGAATGCAACTCACATCTCCCTCTGGAATGAACCAGCCTCAGAAGAGCTTCCTGCATTGTAACAGGGAAATATTTTAATTCCTACACGATCCAACATCATGGCCTCTCCAAAGCAGATTGCCAAATAATTATGCATTTGTGCTAAATGATGGGGTGTTTTATGCTATAGATATCCTAATGGGAAATGGATCGAGACTGCTCAGATTAATTTTGCTTGGGAAATCAGTATTGTTAGCACAATAATTACAAGTTGAAAACTTATTATTGGCAATGTTAACAAAAATAAATTTGTCACCAAGCTTTTATTTCTCATCAAGCTTCACTAGGAAATGAAATGTTTCTCTCAGGGATGTAACACAACCTGTCAGGTTTCTTGCAAAATTACTTATAACATCATTTATTTTTACCTCGAAAATTGCTTATGGCCTTCAGGGCACCCTTAGAAACATGAAAAATACTTTAGAATACATTCTTACCTTTTATTCCACCAAAACCTCCATATGTTAAGTTGCAAGCTGTCCGTTGAAGGTTGTGTTCATACATTAGTTTTAACTGGTATTGATTTCCATGTTCAACTGTACCCATCGTTCCTGTTCATAAAAAGTAATCATACCACACATGCTGGGTGAGAAATCATAAGATTTAATATTCTGTATTTATTTTAGAGAAAAGCATAATGTAGTCATGCGGCATTTCACATGTTGTCTTTTTCGTTTGACCACTATTTAGTCCACAGCAGAGCATAAATGTTTTCAACTATATTTATGACAAATTCAGGTAAGCCAGTTTTTCTCTCCTTATATAAAGCAAGATAGAAGACTAACTCTCTGTATAAGTGTAAGACTTGGGACCAGAAGTTTCTAGGCTCAAATCCCAGTGGGTCCATTCAGCCCTTCAAGGTTGACAAAATGAATATCATGTCAAAACAAATAGGATCTGCCCAAGGTGGCTCTGAGGAGACATGTCTGGAAATGTGAGGGAAGTTTGCATTAATCCAAGTCACTGCTGGTGGTTGTCTGGCTCAGAGATGCATACATATCCTCAACCCTGCAAGCCAGAGCCTTAACAGGGGAATTCTGGCTGGACAGATACCATGCTGCGCAATTATCAACAGTTTAACATTGAATCAATAATCATGGATCCAGCGCAAATGTTGATGGAGTATACACTACCTGAGACAGCGAAGACTGACAGCTTTCTAGGATGTAGAACAGCCAAGTGAAGTAGTTCTGTACCGCTGAAAGAACAAAGCCAAACCATGTTAACTCTCACAGAAAAGCATGCCCAAACCAGGGAAATGAGGAGAAATGGTTTCACACAGAGTATTTAGACTTTGAAATGCCCTGCCGGAAGTGGTGGTTAAGGTAGAATCCATATTAGGTTTCAAACTGGAACAAGACAGATATCTGAACGAAGTAAACTGCACTGGTATTGGAAAACAGAAGGTAAATGGGAGCGAAAGTTTTGATTTTTAAAAGAACCAGCACAAACAAAACGGGCCAAATGGCCTTCTTCTGTGCTGCAAATTTCTATGGTTCTAATCCAACCTAGATCTGTCTGACAACATTAAATTAAGTTGCAAGAAAACCCCCAGCAAAAACACGCACAAAAATATAAGTAAAATGTGAAGGTCAAATCCACTTTCTATGCATATAAAAATTGTGGCACTATAACAACTCACAGCTCATAATATGTATTGTAGAACACCACATAACCATACATGAACTATCAGCATTCTACTTGGTTACTTGTCCACAAGCTTATACCAGATTAAAAAAGAGAGAAAATGAGAGAGGTCCAAGAGAGAGAGGGAAGGGCTAGAACAGTGTGGTACTGTACTCAGTTACGGCATAATTCCCAACAGAACAAATTTTGTTGTTGCACTGTGACCAATTTGTAATTTGAGTAATGTTCAATTTCTTGCGCTGTTTCCATCCGAAGGGTGCGTTTTCCAGTATGAGACTATTTAAGCTGTCATTTGTTTCAATGGTACATTTTAACCCCATTATTTTGGTATGGATTATAATATAATAATAAAGGTAGACGTTTTGGTAGACCATATGTTTTCTCCTTACTGACTTTCTGTTTTTTTCGGCATACTAGGGTGCAGCAGTAATTTTGTTTCTACCATGTTGGCCAGAACTGATTGAAGTACTTGAAGTGTGCCAAATCTGACCGGTGCTTAGTAAAGCTCCAGTATAACCTCTGGAGCCTTGTATTCTACTCTTCTGGTTTCATATCTCAACATTGTTTGTTTTTTTAATTCCTCTGACACATTTTGCCACTTCATGGAGTCCTGTAGCTTAGCAGTTGGAGCTCTCGCCTCGCAAGCGAGAGGACCCGAGTTCGATTCCCAGACATGGCAAAACCTTAGGCAAGTTTCCTTACTCCACGTGCCAGTTAATTGTCGATTGGTGGATCACTTTCTGGGGGTAATATTCCCTTCAAAAAAAAATTTATGATAGTTTGGTCACTCAATCCACGACTGTTTGTGGGACACTACTGTGCCCAATTGGCTGCTGTGTTTCACCCACAAAATTTTCAGTCAATTCACTTTACAAGCTATTCTGTGAAACACTTTAAGACGTCTCAACGACGTGATAAGGAGCTATATCAAATGCAAGGATTATTATTATTTTCTTACTATTAAAGGTAATGAGTCCATGATCACTCCCACGTTCCCTTGAAGGTTTTCCTCTGACAACTAATTCCCATTCATTATACAGTTATGATGCCTGTTAGTTTTACTTTGAATGCAACAGCAAGAGATGGATCAAACAACATTCTCTGACGCCAAATCACAATTTTCTCTTACTCTGTATGTAATGAGATATTTGAGAATCAAGAAACATGGACTTTCAAGTTAAATCATCAATTAAAGAACATCTCCACTTACATTAGGAATTTGGAATTAGTTCCAAAAAGAAAGAATTGAGGAATCTGATTTGTTAGAGGTTACATAACTTCTGAGCAAACTATTACAAACACAAGGAAATTGTTTGGACCTAGAATAAGGAAGAAAAGAGAAACTGATTTCTTTAATAAACATGTGGGTAATTGATAGCAATTCCAGATGAGAATAATTCATTTAAAACACATTATGAAGATGTATGAAACCAGCTAAAAAAAAACATTTTTATGAATAATAATGCTTCCAGTGGTCTCACATGTGCCATAAAACTGGCATCCTATCAAAGTAAATGATTCTTCAAGCTATGTTCTGTATTTCATTCAAGGGGGGATACGGACAAATGGTTTTATTGCTGCACTTTACAAATCATATATTTTATTAAATACACAATAATATAGTGCCATTAGATACAATGCCTCATGTTGAAGCATCTCAAAGTGCTTCAGTTTCCTCTAAAGTCTACTTGTAGGTCAACGCGGCAGCCGATTTGCCCCACAGCAATGTCCCATAAACAATAATAATAATAATAATCTTTGCATTTGATATAGCGCTTTTCACGTCGGGAGGACGTCCCAAAGCGCTTCACAGAACACACTGTAAAGTGAATTGACTGTACATTTGTGGGCGAACGCGGCAGCCGATTGCGCACAGCAATGTCCCACAAACAGTCGTAGATTAAAAATGACCAATTTATTATTGTTTTGTTTTGGACGGATTATTATTAGGTGTGTGGAGTAAGGAAACTTGCCCGAGGTTTCGTCCTGACCTGCAGGGAATTGAATCCTAACCACTGAGCTATAGGACTCCACGTACTTCCATATACACAAACACTTATAAAAATACTTTTCAGATACAAAATATTATCCAGAAGGCTAATCAAATAAATGTTGGTTATCCATCTCAAGGAGCAACTGATATATATTCTAAAACAGCGGCAATGATTTGGATACAACAGATCAATTTGTGGAACGACTTTCAGGTCCGGTGGACGTCACAGACTCTCGGTGGAATCAGCGCCACGGAGCTGGCCTGCACAGCCAACTTTCCACCTGCTGTGGCTGTGTCTGAGTCGCATTGTCCCTGCTCCTGGATAGGGGTACTTATTGACTCCTTCGTCTTGAACCCGGAAACAAAATCTGAATAAATCTTGGCAATCTTCTTTGTCTGCCATCCCATCAGTGCCACGACGAATATCACCAATAGCATGACAGGCACAACACTTTCACAAGAGCATCTTGATTCTGTGAGCAAACTGTGTCTGATTTGTTGGTTCCAGGCGAAATCTCACGAAGTGAAGTGAATCTCATGAAGTGAATGACCAATTCTATCTAAGGGATTGTTGCCCAGGACATTACATTTGTATAGCGCCTTTCATATCTGGAGGACGTCGCAAGGCACTGGACAGTTAAGAATTCGCAATCGAGCTGGGTGTTCGGGAGAGGCGGAGGGCGGGGAGGGTAGAGGTAGGAGGGTGACCAAAGGCGCGGCCAAATAGAGGGTCTTGAGACGGGCCTTGAAGGAAGCAAGGGAAGGGCTGAGGCAAATGGATTGTGAGATGGAGTTCCAAAGGTTGGGGCAGAAAGGTTGATGGCCTGACTGCCGATGGTGTGGCGGGCAGGGCCGGGGACATGAATACAAATGTAATTTGTTGTCGTCGTTGTTGAACAGACAGACAGGATCCTCGGTTTAACATCTCATCAGATGACGGTACCGCAAACATTGCTGCACTCTCCCAGCGTGGTGTATGGGATTAGTTTGCTCTGTTCATTCAAACAAATCTTTCAATCAGCCTGAAATAACGTTATAAGCATAGCACATTTTGAAAAAATTACTAATTTAAATTTTTTTTTGAGTAAGACTAAAATTTGATTTGTGCGCAACTAGGATGCCGTAATTTGATCAACTCATTTAATCGAAAAAAGGCCTTGAACTCTATAGTGTAATAATATTTATATTACATTCTCTATTTGATTTCAGGTTAATTTTCAATTGGATAACATTATTATGTGTGGAACCCAAAAACAAATTGGTCATCATCTTGTAGCAATGTCAGTTTTAATAAGAGAATGCACCAGATCTACTAATATTTCTCCTAGTTTTGTGTTCAGTAGATCATATAAAACACAACCACTAAATCTAGGGTGTCCACATTGGAATACAAATCTAATGTGCTCATACAGAAACAATAATCTTTTGAACCTGACCCTTCTGAAATCAATAATTTCTCTTTTACAGTAGATGGAGTTTCACTCCCACACAAAATAAAATGAGACCAATCCGACACAATACTTTTTTTAAGCTAGTATCCGTGCAGAACATGCTCTGCTGAAGTGCCCCACCATGGCTACTGTGTGCCAAATCCTCATAGATTTAACTGACAGATGAAGAATAACCTTCTGTACAAGGTACCAGTTAGCAATCAGTATCCATTGATTTTGTTTCTCTTTGACCGAGTCTTCAGCTCCCCTCTCGACTCTCTTCCCCTTCCTCGCTCCCTCCCTTCCCTCCCCTCACCCTGACCATTTCCCCCCTCCTCGCTCCCTCCCTTCCCTCCCCTCACCCTGACCATTTCCCCCTCCTCGCTCCCTCCCTTCCCTCCCCTCACCCTGACCATTTCCCCCCTCCTCGCTCCCTCCCTTCCCTCCCCTCACCCTGACCATTTCCCCCCTGCTCGGGTCATGACCCAACTGTGCAGCGCCTTGGGACGTCCTCCTGACGTGAAAGGCGCTTTATAAATGGAATCTTGTTGTTGTTGTTGTTGTTGTTGAGTTCTAGGTTAGGGTACGAGAGGGGTGGGTTTGGTGGGGGAAACCTGAAGGGGACAACAGGTAAGCAATTGATAGATATTACTAAACATACGTTAGGTTTCTCTTGCCTCATAAAAAGGAATAAGCTGCAACTATTAATCAGAATAAATGTAAATGTACTGTTTTAAAAGTAAATGTAATTTGTGGGCCCCAAATTACACCTTAGTTCAACATTCACAATAAATAGCTCCCTCTGCTGGCCAATACCTGTCAATGTCATCCTGCTTTATTTCACTTTATGATTGGGTGTTACCAACTGTAGTTTAAGGAGATTAATGTTTGGAGGGAGGAGAAGACTCCAAATAATTCAAGTAATTTACTGTGCTCTCTGAACAGTGGTATATATATTATATATATTTAGAAAACTCTGATAATTTGCTCACTGTGATGGGTATTATATAGAAAATGTCTAGTTCTCAATGTTAATTGGATAATTTAAGGCAATGCACATAGTTGCTGGTTTGAAGGCTGATTTAATTTTTTTGCTGAATGATAAGAGGGATAGTGTATCGTGGTATTTGGTCAACAGTTTACTGCGACTCAATTTTGTCAAATCATTAACCAAAATTCAGGAGATTTTCCCAATAGGAGAATCGTGGGTGTAACTGGCTCAGAGCCCAGGGTGGGAGAAGACACGAGCTGCAGAGTTCTGAATGTCTGCAGCTTGTGGAGGGAAGAGTTAGGAAGTCCGGTGAGCAGAGAGTTTGCAAAGTCAAGCTGTCACCCAAATGATTTGGGATAACACCCGACTTTTTCCAATGCAAAGTAATGTAATCCAAAATTAATTTCACTAAATCAAGGATGGAGATTAGACATGTCACATTCCCTGATCTAATGTTATCAGACGATAATTTCTGCCTAAACTACGAGGAACATAGGAACAGGAGTAGCCCATTCAGCCTATTGAGCCTGTTCCTCCATTCTATAAGATTATGGCTCCAATTTGAGCTTTGGTTGAAGCAAAGTTTAATGAGTCACTGTCCTTTATACATCTATCAGCATTCTAAAATAACCATTAATATTTTACTCAAGTTATAATAAAAACTAAGAATAAATGCATTTGTTGAAAAATAAAGCACGAAATTTTAAACATAAGTTAGATCTCAAAGTACGTTTAGAAATTAATAATAATCCTTGCATTTGATATAGCACTTTTCATGTTTTCTAGATCTTCTTTTCATGTCTTCTTATATCCTATATTCACAGAATATAATATAAAGTGAATTGACTGTATATTTGTGGGCGAAACACGGCAACCAATTGCGCACACCAATGTCCCAAAACAGTTGTGGAATGAAGTGACCAATTCATTGTTGGGTTTTTTCTTGAGGGATTATTATCAGGCGTGTGGAGTAAGGAAACTTGCCCAAAGTTTTGCCCTGCTGGGAATCAAACCCAGGTCTCTCACTTGAGAGGCGAGTGCTCTAACTACTAAGGTACAGGACTCCATATTAAACCCAAGGTTACTAAAAAATTGAATGAAATGGAACATTTTTTGAGGGAGTGGATACTTATTTTGCGAGGCGAGATGAGTGTGGTTTGGTTCAGCTCGGCTAAATCTTAAAAAAAAATTTGGTTAAATAAAACTCAGCTATAGTAGAGTTAAATCTGTGAGGATTTGGCACACAGTAGCCAAATTGCATGAATTGCTAAGGTTGACTTGCAAAACTGAATGCTAAACCTCAAGTTTTCTAGGTGTAATTAATATGTGAACATTCATTCGCGTATTAATTACACCTAGAACTAATAGTTACATCAAACTGCTCACCTGAAATAATAATAATAATCCTTGCATTTGATATACAGTCTTATCAGGTCTTCAAGAAATCTCAAAGCGCTTCACAGAATATACTGTAAAGTGAATTGACTATACTTTGTGGGCAAAATGCGGCAGCAAATTGCGTACATCAGTGTCCCACAAACAACCGTGGATTGAGTGACCAATCTATTTTTGTATTTTTTTTTTTTTAAATTATCAAACAAATAGATTGGTTATCCCCGGGAAAAAGATCCACCAATCGACTAAGCAAACTTACCCAACATTTCGCCCAGCCAGGAATCGAACCCTGGTCTCTCGCTTGCTCTAGGTTAGTGTTTTAACCACTGAGCTACACTCAGTCTCTCACTTGCGAGGCGAGCGCTCTAAACACTGAAATATTAATGAAATCAAATCATATTGCTGTACCAATATTGGTTCAGCAAATATGTTATTGTAAATTGGTACAGTGTACATCAGGTGGATGGTTACTGATTGTTTTGATGGTTATGCATTGCTTTGTAGTAATGTGTTCTGATATGCTATCCCACATGAAGGGCACTATATAAATGGAAGCTGTTGTTGTTATTGTTTTTATGCTGTACCATTACAGCGCTTTGGGACATCCTCCCGACTTGAAAGGCGCTATACAAATGTAATTTTGTATTGTGTATTATATTGTACTACCATCATCTCAGCAAAGATCATTTATCCACTAACGTAATTTCAGGAATATTTTCAGGAGAAAAGCATGCATTTCTAACCTGTTGAGGCATAATCTGAAGTATTAATTCATATTTATTTCTTAGTTGTCAATAATGAATTTTATTCCAACGAATGAGTTTTTAACTTGAGGAAAATATTAATGGAATTAAAAAAGCAGCTACAAATTTTAAACAAAGGTTAGATCTCAGAGTATGTTTGGAAATTGCATGAATTGCTACGGTTGATTTAGAAAAACTGGTAAATTGGATATTAACACTGGCAGTATTTCCAATAAAAGGCAAAATTCTAGGAAAGTTACTTCAATGTTGCTGATTACTGGAGTGGAATGGATTTGTTAAACTGTAGATATAATGCAGCTCCACAAAAGTGCGTGATATACAAACCTGGAGGTATAAAAACCTGCAGGTATAAATAAAAATTAGACCAAGTCTAATCGACATCCTAATGCTGTGATAAAAGTTGATTGTTATCATCAAGCAGAACATTTAATTAAAAAGAATGACCACACTGTGCTGATGCATGTAGAAATACGCAACAATGAATGGACTGGCAGGCACATTTTTAAACAGTCTTTGCACTACATATCCATTTTTTGCACTCTCCAAAAAGCTCCCTCCTTTATCAGAACATGTCCTGCTGTCAGCATAGCCATAGAGTCCTGTAGCTCAGTTGAAGCACTCGTCTCACAAGTGAGAGACCTGGTTTCAATTCTCGGCCGGGCAAAATATTAGGCAAGTTCCCTTAGTCCAACCGCCACTGTTTATCTAGCAATAAGTAGGAACCCTACTCTTAGTCAATTGTCGGATCGCTTTTCTGGGGGTAATAATTCCTTCAAAAAAAAATAATAAATTGGTCACTTCAATCCATGACTGTTTGTGGAACACTGCTGTGTGCAATTGGCTGCCGCATTTCACACAATATATACAGTCAATTCACTTTACAGTATATTCTGTAAAGCGCTTTGTGACGTCTCGAAGACGTGATAAGGCTATATCAAATGCAAGAAATATTATTATTTGCATCTCATCATCGTATTGCAATATTCAGATTTTTTTATTTTTGTACAAGTCTTTAATTTATTTACTTACGAAACAAATTTTCCCACTTCCACTTGCAATATAGGATCCTGAAGTTGAATCTCCAGGATTAACTCTTCTGGTTGGGCCGTTGCTCCGGGTTTGGAAGGCTGTGGAGAATACACCCGCAGAATTCCCTTGTAACTGCCAATAATAATTTTGTCTGTAAAAGAACACAAAAAAAATTGGCTTACTTCTTCCTTTGGAATCAAACAGCAAATATAAAGTTTAAAATAATAGAAACTGATTAGTCACAATCCACATATGAAGCGCAGAAAGTACAGGTAGATAATCTCCAAAGTGACACCAACTTCTTGCACCATATCTCTCAACAATTTTCCAATCTGCTAAAACAATTCATCTGGTTCAGGCTACAAGCACAGAAAGGAACGGGGTATTTGAAGTCAAATGCATAACACAGAGATAGGCATAAGGGCCTTGACGTAATATTAACACGTGGATTCGCAGCCCTTTATAAGCAATTCTTCCCCAGCAGTGTCATGGAGTCTTTAAAAAAACAAGATCTTGGCTTAATGTTTCCTCTAAAAGACCCGACCAATAACAATGCAGTAGAGCAGAGCTGATTATCTGCATTAATTGGCATCAGCTCTATTGAGAATACATGTTTTAGCCTCCCACTGCCCCCCACCCCCATTTATAAGACCCCCTCTGACCTACTGGACCTAAGAACAGCATTACACCAATAATCCTTGCATTGATGTGTTTGCTCATGCCTCATCGCTTTGCCAAGATTTGTCAATGTACATCACAGGGTTTGCATACACCAATAATGATAATAATCCTTGCATTTGATATAGCGCATTATCACGTCTTCGAGATGTCTCAAAGCGCTTCACAGAATATATTGTAAAGTGAATTGACTATATTTTGTGGGCGAAATGCGACAGCCAATTGCGTACAGCAAATTGTTTGTGGGACACAGCAATGTTTCTCAATGTGTCACTGTGCATTGTAAATATTCTTTTCCTGATTGCGTGTGAGCATTGCCTCAAGTTATACAATTTAACTGAGAAAATTCATTACGGTTTTCTATGGAAATAACCTTTTTTATGTATAAAGGCAAAGATTATCCACATTTATTAAATTAACTTTTTTGTAAAATTGAGCAGAGAATTCAGTAATGATTTAGCAAGAAATGTTCAAATGTAAATACGACATAAAGTTAACAATAAATTCTGTAGACTACACAACTCATATAGTGATTTAGGATTTCAAAACAAATGTAAATATTATGAGAGTTTGTAGTTTTGATTGGACAAGACTTTGTTTTAGTTTTTATAATCTCTGATCTAGTTTAAGTAGCAATGCATCACACAGCCTGGTCCACAACCTTTATTATTCTACGTTGAAATTAGTTTGGTACAGATTAAACCACCACTAGAGGTCTCAGTTTCGGTTCAGTAATAAATTGGTTAATACTGAACAAGCATCCATTCAGAAAGTGCATGATCGAATGAAATAGCACAGTCCTAGCAAATCAACAACAAATTTATATAGCAACTGTCACGTCAGAAGGATGTCCCAAGGGTTGGACAATCAACAGATTGGATACAAGTCCAGGGATGGAGACCGGTGTGGGGGTGTATTGTGGGTTGAAAGATAAATAAAAAGTGCAGTCAAAGAGGAAGGTCTTGAAATGGGCCTTGAAGGAGGCGAAGGAATAGGCAAGGCGAAGGGATTCAGGGATGGAGTTCCAGAGACTAACTACCAATGTTGGGTCATGAAGCAGGCCGTTACTGCAGAGCAGAGGGAAACAGCAGGTTGGTAAGGTTTTAGAAAGTTAGAAAGGGAGGGTGGGCCAAGACCATGGAAAGCTTTAAAAGTGACGACAAAAATCTTGGAGTCGATCCTTTGGGGATGGGAAGATAGTGAGGTGTCGGCTGAGGTGGAGTTGATATGTTTGCAGAGCCAGATGCAGGAGAGGACAAGAGCAGCAACATATTGAAATGGTATACAGCTTGTGGAGGGAATAGTTGAGAAGACCAGCAAGCAAAGAGTCCAACTTGGAGGTGATAAAAGCATGGATAAGGGTCATGGCTGCCCAAGGGGAGAGGTAGCAACAACAACAAATTACACTTGTAATCGCGCCCTTCATGTCAGAAAGACATCTCAGGCTATTGGACAGTCAGGGGTTTTTGGACACAAGCTGGGAGTTAGGTTCAGGAGGAGTGGAGGGCAGGGGGCTAGAGGTGGGTGGTGGCAGAAGGCACGAGATGGGAAAGCAACGGAGATAGGAAATGTTACAAAGATGGGGAAAAAGGTGAATGCGTCAAGGCATCGATGTGAGGTTTAAAGGACAATTGAGAGTTGAACAAGAAAGTTTATACCCTGGTATGGTGCAGTGTCCATCCATGTACAGTGATGCTAACAGCACCAGAGATGAAAAGACACTGACAGGAGCCAATCAGGAGGGCCTCTGTCTTGTCAACATTCAATTGGAGAATGTTAGCTCTCTTCCACGACGTAATGTCCGACAGGCAATCGATCAGGACATCAGAGGTCTTGGAATCGAGGGCAGAGTCACAGAAATAGAACTGGGTATCATCTGCACATATATGGAAGTTAATGTTTGCAGATCATCTCAGAGCTTGTAAATGTTAGAGGAGGACCAAGAATAAAAACAACAACAACAACTTGTATTTATATAGAGCCATTCATGCTGGGTAGCATCCATGAATGCTTCACAGTGGCAGAGACTAACAATAATAATAATAATCCTTCCATTTGATATAGCGCTTTTCACGTCTTCCAGATGTCTCAAAGCACTTCACAGAATAGACTGTAATGTAAATTGAATTGACTGTATATTTGTGGGCAAAACGCGGCAGCCAATTGCACACAGCAATGTCCCACAAACCGTCGTGGATTGAAATGACCAATTTATTATTGGTTTTTTTCTTGAGGGATTATTATCAGGCGTGTGGAGTAAGGAAACTTGCCCAAGGTCTCACCCTGCCGGGAATCAAACCCAGGTCTGTCGCTTGCAAAGCAAGTGCTCTAACCACTGAGCTACAGGACTCCACTACAATGAGGTGTCTGTAAGCACGATCAAAAATGAAGGTCTTTAGGCAGGATTTGAAGGTGAGGAGGGGCAAAGCTGAGGGATTGAGGGAGAGAGTTCCAGAGTCTCGGGGCATAGTGGCTTAAGGAACAGAAGGCCGGAGCCAGCTGAGCGGAGGCAGCGGGTGGTGCAGTGGGGGTGTAAGCACGTCGGATAGGTAGGGAGGTGCAAAAGCATGAAGGGATTTGAAAACGAGTAAGAGGATTTTAAAATGCATCTATTTGGTGATTGGAAGCCAGTGGAACCCAGCAAGGACTGGTGTGAGGGGAATAGAGCCTTAAGGAACTCCACAAGTTACAGTGCGGGGGCAAGAGGAGCATCCATTGGTAGATACTAAGTGGAGACACTGGGAAAGAATGAAACCATGTAAGGACCATATAAATTAATATCATTAATATAATTTAATATCATGTAAGCTACTGATATCACAGTCATCAACAAATATATGCTGCATGGGCTCTAAACACATTGAGTTTACATTCTTTCTTTTATGGATGGGGAGGGAAGGGATGCGAAGGAAGAGAAAAATATCCCCCACCCCTCGACGATATTGGTAACCTGAAGTATTGCATACTTTTCTGTGTCTGCTTGGTTTTGTCTATTGCTTCAGTAACGACAGGATGATACATCAGCAATAGCAATGACTTGCACATATCTTTAATGTAAAATGAATGCTTCAAAACAGTTCAAAAATTTCCACTTCCTAAATTTGGCTGTAACTGACATGTTTGTATTTATAATTTCTGATCTAGTTTACATAACAATGCAATAATCAGTCTGGTCCACAAAGGTTATTGTTCTATATTGAAACTAGTTTGATACAGATTAACAACAGCATCTTGTATTTATATTGCACCCCTCAAGCAGAGTCCCAGAGCCCTCTGAACCACCACTAGAGGTCTCAGTTTGGGTTCACTGACAAATTGGTTAATACTGAATCAGTATCCATTCAGAAAGTACATCACCAAGTGAAATTACACAGCACAGTCCTATCAAGAGTCATTAACAAAAGTACACAGTGCAATTAAAAAAATTCTCTCTTATTCAAACTGTTCCTTTTCTGGGGCATTGAGATTCAGCAGGTTACTGCTACATTTACACATATGGGGTTCTGTACCGACTAAATTCTGTATATGGAGAATATATGAATCAGCAGCAAGTCTAAAGTATATCACATAAAATATAATATAAAAATGCTACAAAATTGTTTAGAAATGGATAGGAATAAGCAGATGCTGAAGTTTACTTAACCATCGCACACACAGGTTAGTAGTTAGATATAGGGCAGGATCGGGATAGTCAGACTCCTGCTAAGTGTTTTGGAAAAAAAACATTTGTACTTGACAGCCTGTTAATTTACAATATTTGCAACCACCACCACCATTTGGTGGTCAAATTAAGTAATAAAGCTCTTTTAAGTGTTTAAATGGAATTACTTGCTCAGATTAAAGGAAGTAACGTGATCTTGTACTTGAATGGAAAGTACTCCAATTGCACTTACCATTTCCACTTCCACTATTGTCCACATCAGCAACACACAAACATCCCAGGTCAAATTCCTCATGCTCTCCTAGTGTGGTGGACCACCAGTCTCGAGCTTTAAACAAAGACATCCTTTTTCAATCTGCAACCAATAAACAGAAAAAAGTAACATGAAACTATTAATAAATAATACCTGATCAGTAGGAATAAATAATACTATTGATAAGTAATACCTGATCATACTTAGTGACTGAAGAATATTTTCTGTGAAAGAGCTCAGTGTTCAAGTATTTATGCTCATTCAAGATAAATGATGTCAGTGCTCTGGAATGAAGTCATTTTTTTCATTGTAGCTACCCAAATTCAGCAGTGAGCCCTTCCAAATCCCACTATTCTGGAACAACCTGAATCTCAGAAGAGTATCTTAGGCTATAGTTAATATCAACCTGAACAGGCAGACATGAGCTTAATTTAACGACTCTTCTAAAGGACAGCACCTCTGATAATGCAAAATGCCCTCAGCACTCCCTTAAACCTAAAATCTCTGACTCAGAGGCAAGAGTGCTACCAACTGAGCCAAGTCGCCACCCATGTATGAGAGTATTAAAGTAAATTACAACATAATAACTTACATGCTGGGGAACATTCTCCCAATTGTAGCTAACACTAGTGATTTATAAAACTGTTCAACAAAGTTGAAACATAAGAATGAAGATTTACATTTACATGAGACAGACTGCAAATCCATGAGACAAACAGATGAACAATAACATTGCTGGTAGCCCAGTTAGTTGACCTGGGATTGGAAGGACTGGATTCCAACTTCAGTGGGTCCAACCCTTTCAAGGTCTGGTACTCTAGTTTACAGGTGGCAGCTTGGCTTAATTTGTAGCAAAATCACCTGAGTTTTTTTTGCAAAAACTGTAATGTCCGAGTGAAAATTGGAAAGCAGAATCTGTCTGGACTGCCTCCAAACACACAAAGCCAAGCAGATTCACTCTAATCCAATACTCTGTTGACGCTACATCAACCTGTCGGGCTCGTCAATGAGACTCGGTAAGTATAGACAAGCGGTCCTAGCCGGATCAGTACCAAGCTGTTTCAAAAATGATATGCATCATCAAGTGTTACTTAACATTTCTGTAAAACCCTCATCAGTGCTTGTTACTGTAGTCAGAATACAAAACTTCTATTTGCACATTCTAAATGTAATGCATTACTTTATTTTATTTTTAAAAAATAGATTTTGTTTCCTAGTTATGCACAATACGGTATATTATCTGTACATTAGTGAAATAATGAGGGAATGCAAAAAATGTCTCTCAGGATAATGTTAATAATTCAAAAAAAATAATCCTTGAATTTTCTATAGCACCTTGAGGTGTTTTCCAGATAGGCTTTATTCAGCAATAAATATTTACAATAAGATCAAAGGTTAAAATATCAACATAGTTATCAAATTGTCTATGTTACAATAGTTTCTGTGTTACTGGTACCATGTATCATCTATTGGTTAAATAAACCTTGTCCAGAATGAAACATTTTATGATTGGATTAAATACAACGGGAATTTCACTCAGTTACCCTCAAAAAGCTTTACCTTGACGTAATCTAATATCTAATTCTGTGGAATAAATTGTGCTTCATCTTTGAAGGCAAAGGCTTGATAGCTGAAAAGCATTTGCTCATTCCATGAAGTTTTAACCTTAAAGGCAGTATTGCAAACCATCTGCAACAATTATACTGAACACTGGCTGCCAGTGAGAAAATGTCCACAACTACTCCATCACAGAAAAATTCATTTCATATAGTTATCTCACCTATATTGGAATAAAATCTACATTTAAAAAAACAGGCCACATATACTGTGTGAAACAGTGACCCCACTTCTATTTTCATCTACACAGTATATGGTCTGCGTGAAGCTTGACAAAGTCCAGTGAATTAATTAGTTCTTAGAAAGAAAGCCAGGAAGATCAACTCGATCTAAGCTGAATTTGAAAATCTTAAATAGAGTATTTAAAAAAATCAGTGAATAATCTCTTGCATAAAAAGCCAAAATAATTGCTTTAAATACAGTAGTAAATTAGACAGCTGGAATGTAATTATTCTATTTATCATTAGAAATTACCCAACAAATCAGATGACAATAGATAATAATGATCCAGTTATTAACTTTAGGATTAATGACATATATAAATCTCAAACAGCTCTCCGGTGCTACAGTGGAGTCCTGTAGCTCAGTGGTTAGAGCACTCGCTTTGCAAGCGAGAGACCCGAGTTAAATTCCAGGCAGAGCGAAACCTTGGGCAAGTTTCCTTACTCCACACAGAGCCTAATAATAATCCCTCCAAAACCAAAAACAATAATAAATTGGTCATTTTCAATCTACGACTGTTTGTGGGACATTGCTGTGCGCAATTAGCTGCCGCGTTCGCCCACAAATATACAGTCAATTCACTTTACAGTGTGTTCTGTGAAGCACTTTGGGACGTCCTCCCGACGTGGAAAGCGCTATATCAAATGCAAGGATTATTATTATTATTATTATTATTATTAATTCCTCTCAAGATTATACTGCACTTTGCCACAGACAGAATCTGTGCACTGAGAATTCCATTATAGTGAGATCTACGCTTTGTTGTGCTAACAGAACTGCACGAGAATAAATTGCAAAAATCACAGGGCAATCCTCTGTGGCTGGTTAATCTCCATATTGCCATTAGTTCAGGAGCAGGTTGTTTAGGAAGCATCTCTCTGTGTGAAAGGGAGAATCAGTTTATGACATCAGTCAGATGAAAACCTGCATTTTTTGCTCTGTAACATATTTTTTAAAAATCATAAAACACTTTTCAGTAATTACTGTCAGGTAAAGATTTTGTAGACAAATGCAGTATTTTGCACACAGCTGGGTCTATCAAAGAACTATGTAGATTGTTTATTCCAGAGAAAATAAAAAGATAACAATACAAAATATACAGTAAATACACTTTACAGTATATTCTGTGAAGCACTTTGAAATGTCTCGAAGACGTGAAAAGACGCTATATCAAATGCAAGGATTATTATTAGGCACCATAACTGCCTATTGATGGATTGTGGAGTCCTGTGGCACAGTGGTTAGAGCACTCGCTTTGCAAGCAAGAGACCTGGGTTCAATTCCAGGCAGAGGGCGAAACCTTGGGCAAGTTTCCTTACTCCACACAGAGTCTAATAATAATCCCTCCAAAACCAAAAACAATAATAAATTGGTCATTTTCAATCTGCAACTGTTTGTGGGACATTGCTGTGCGCAATTGGCTGCCGCGTTCGCCCACAAATATACAGTCAATTCGCTTTACAGTGTGTTCTGTGAAGCGCTTTGGGACATCCTCCTGACGTGAAAAGCGCTATATCAAATACAAGGATTATTATAATAGAATTTGGTACATATGATGAATGAGGTTACTGAATCCAGGTAGCCATATTGACTGAGAAGACATTAACAAATGAAAAAGCCTATAATCTATGAATAAATCCAGTTTCTAGATAACAATACCTACATAATGCTAATAACTTATTTACAGTGCTATCCAATCATAACAGAATATTTCATGTTGTTTATTGCTGGAATTGGGGGCTCGCAGTTCATTATAATTCTAGAAGTAAGTGAATTTATCAGCCTTCTGGCTCTTATTCGACTGGGAGGAAATGCACTGAAATCTGCAATGAAACAGCCACCAAGCAATAATGCCCATAAAATAAATAAGTGATCATACTGAGTGAGAAATTTCTATAACAGATTAAGGTTTCTGCTTTCAAAATATAGTTAGTATTGTTGACAATCAGCCCACCAAAAAAGGATTCATCCCAATAGCTGTAATAGGAATGCAGCTTTTCTAGGATAAGTATTCAAGATCCAATATTTTATGATATATCAATGCAAAATGTATCTTTTTCTCTGAGGCAAAAATCATTGGATATGTTTAATTACCTCTTTAGGTGAACTCATGACTTACTTTTGTGATAAGTGGTGAAGAAGTGCATGTGAAAGGTAAACTGTTTTGAAAAGTGGCATGATGAATTTCAAAATGTTTGGAAAACAACCAAGAGTTCAGAAAGATGTTTATAAATCAATGCCACTCTCACTTCAGTTTTCAACAATATTCCCTTTTTCTAGTGTTATTTATACAGTATTGCTCCTTCAATCAAATATGCTCACTCTTGGTGAAATCATCCGCAGACACGGGGTCACTTCCACATGTACGCAGATGATACCCAACTCTATCTCTCTGCCTCCGTGCTTGACTCCAGGACCACTGCTGTCCTGACAGAATATGTGTCAGATATCAGTACTGGATGAGAGTTAACTTCCTCCAGTTGAATGTCAACAAGACCGAGGTTCTCCTGATTGGCTCCTGTCAGTGGCTCGACACCTCAGGCGCTGACAACATCACCATCCATGGTTGCACACTCAACCTGGCTAAGCCAGTCCAGAACCTTGGAGTCTTGTTTGACCCTCAACAATCCTTTCTACCCCACATCTGTGCCATGACCTACCCTGCCTTCCCCACAACATTGCCCGGCTCTGCCACTGTCTCACACCGCAGGCCGCCGAAACCCTCATACTATCTGAGTTCAATTCCAGGCAGGGCGAAACCTTGGGCAAGTTTCCTTACTCCACACGCCTAATAATAATACCTCCAAAACAAAAAAAACCAATAATAAATTGGTCATTTTCAATCTACGACTGTTTGTGGGACATTGCTGTGTGCAATTGGCTGCCGCGTTCGCCCACAAATATACAGTCAACTCACTTTACAGTATATTCTGTGAAGCGCTTTGAGACGTCTAGAAGATGTGAAAAGCGCTATATCAAATGCAATGATTATTATTATTATTATCTATGCAAACTCCCTGCTTCTCAGCCTCCCCAACTCCTCCCTCCATAGGCTGCACATCATCCAAAACTCTGCAGCCCGTGTCCTCTCCCGCACCAAGCTCCATGACCCTAACACCCCCATCCTCGCCCAATTTCACTGGCTTCCCATTACACAAAGGATACATTTCAAGATCTTGGTCCTCACCTTCAAAGCCCTCTATGGGCTTGCTCCCACCTACCTCTGGAAACTCCTAACCCCCTACCAACCTGCACGCTCCCTCCGCTCAGCGGGCTCTGGCCTGCTTCACATCCCTCGCCTCACCCGCCCCACCATTGGCAGCCGGGCCTTCACCCTCTCTGTACCTACCCTCTGGAACTCCATCCCGCAGTCTCTCCATCTCGCCCCCCCACCGTTGCGTCCTTCAAGACCCGACTCAAGACCCTCCTCTTCGACCATGCCTTCGATCACCCTCCTCCCTACCCCCCCGCCCTGCCCTCCACCCGCTCCGATCCTGACCCCCAGCTCGGATCCGAAACACTGATTGTCCAGCGCCTTGGCCATCCTCTCAACGTGAAAGGCGCTATACAAATGTAATTTTGTTGTTGTATAATATTCCTTGCATTTAATATAGTGCTTTATGGGGGTTGTTACAACATGTTAAATACTTCACTGAATTTACTGTGAAGGGATTTGACATGCATTTATAGGCTAATGCCGCAGGCAATTTGTTTGTGCACAAATTGCGACCTTTTTTTTAATCTGAGGGATTATTAGCCAGGAGACCAGGAAAACAAATAGTACCATGGGAATCTTAACATCCACCTGAACAGGCAAATGACATGTCAGTGCAATACAGTGCTCCCCCAGCACCTCAGAGTGCTGCCAACTGATACAACAAAAACAACGTTTAGTCAAATTAAATTACAGTATTTAACAATTCCATTTTGTTTAATGCAAATATAGTCGACATACAAATAGATATTATCATGCCCTCAAACAAGATACCATGAAAGGGGGGAGGTGTCGAAGTCAACTATTTGAGCAATAATGCTTAATATTGTGTAACATTTTTAGCAGTACAATCAATCTTGTGCCATAATCCCTCTGAATAACTGCGACATATGTGCTCCGGGATTTGTGGAGGACACTAATCGGCTTTTCCAACTATAGTACTTGCCATCCAACATGATACGTTAAAATTATTCACTCCACATTTTTGTTTTGTTCATATGGAGAAAGTTCACTCAATGCATTCCGCTACAAAACAGTCAATGAACCCAAAAAGCACAGGGTCGGATCTGTCGCCCGGCAGTTACTAATAGCAACCGAGAAATTGCTAACTTCTTGAGAAATCAGGACCTTTGTGGGGAAGGAGTTTAAATCATTCCCCTCACATCACAAACATCAGCTCAGACATATTTATGCTTAATGTGAGTTTATGGTTAATGGGAGCTCGTATTTCCACAAGCAACTCATCCCACTTAACGCACATGTGTGTGTGTCGGTATATTACTGTATATACATCAATAACTACCATCAAAGCCCAAACACATCAAACTCCATCTTCACTCACCTTCAAAATCCGTAAAGGGGCTGCAACCCCCTCCCACAGCCGCAAACCCCAGTGACAGGCAATCAAGTCAAACGCAAACAGCTCAGGCTCTGTCGGGGGGGAATGAAAGAGCAGGAAAAGCAATCACCAGGTGCTCAACATCTCCTCTTCCCCCGGGGCGGGGCGGGGCAGGGCTGGGCAGGGCAAGGCGGGGCAGGGTAGGGCTGAGCAGGGCAAGGCTGGGCTGGGCAAGGCTGGGCAGGGTAGGACTGGGCTGAGCGGGGCAGGGTAGGGCAGGGCAAGGCTGGGCGGGGCTGAGCGGGGCAGGGCAAGGCAAGGCTGGGCGGGGCTGAGCGGGACAGGGCAAGGCAAGGCTGGGCGGGGCTGAGCGGGACAGGGCAAGGTTGGCGGGGCTGGGCAAGGCTGGGCAAGGTTGGCGGGGCAGGGCTGGGCAGGGTAGGGCAGGGCAAGGCTGGGCGGGGCAGGGACATAGCCACCAGCCCGGGGTGGGGGGTGGGGGAGAAGCCCGCACATGGATACTTGCCCCGCCCGGCGGTTACTGCCAATGAAGAGCGACAACCCGAGCCCGCGGCTGTGATTGAACAGATGAAGTGAGTGCCAGTGTTTGCTGCTCTGTCTCTCACCCACTGGTGCCGGTGTTGGCGGCTCTCACTGTCCCCGGTGCCGCCGCTGTTTGCAGCTCTGATTCCTGGCCTCCTCCGTTGTCATAGCGCCCGCGCCAGCCCGGAAACCCGGCAGCTCCCACCAGGCAGGACCGGAAGTGTCTCGCACACCCCTCCGCCGCAAAGCTCCACGGGAGTTGTAGTTTCTATTTTGCTGTCTGGGTATCGCTGCTGGGAAAATGATAATTATCTTTGCATTTGATATAGCGCCTTATCACGTCTTCCAGACGTCTCAAAGCGCTTCACAGAATATACTGTAGGGGAATTGACTATATTTTGTGGGCGAAACGCGGCAGCCAATTGCGCACGGCAGTCGTGGATTAAATGACCAATTTTTTTAAAAAAGAATGATTACAGCCGGAAAAACAATCCACCAATGCACTAATAGTCGAGTTCCTACTTACTGCTAAGTAAGTCGGGTCCAGCTTCACCCCTGTTACACGCTCTGAGACTACCCTGCATGGAGGGCACTGTGTAAGTGCAAGTTGTTGTAAGGATACAGAGGTGTGTGGAGTACGGAAACTTGCCCAACATTTCACCCTGCCGGGAATCGAACCCAGGTCTCTCGCTTGCAAGGCGAGTGTTCCAACCACTGAGCTACAGGGCTTCACATTATTAATAATAATAATCATCCTTGCATTTCATATACCACCGTATCATGTTGTGGAGACATCTCAAAGCACTTCACAAGATATACTGTGTATGTTGTGGACAGAATGTTAAAAGTGCTTTGGTACACTACCTCACATGAAGGGCGCTATATAAATTTAAGTTGTTGTATCTATTGGACTGTGATATGCATTTCTCAGAGAGCAATAATATTTGTTGTATTTAACTTAGCGCCTTAAGACAAATGTCTTAAAGTCCTTCCCAGGTAATTTCTCTCAATCGGTGGTGATGATTGATCTGAGACACTATCCCTCGTGAAAGGTGCTCTATAAATAATAATCCTTGCATTTGATGTAGCGCTTTCCACGTTTTCTAGATGTCTCAAAGCGCTTCACAGAATATACTGTAAAGTGAATTGACTGTATACTTGTGGGTGAAATTGAATCCATAAGAGCATTGCCACTATCTTCCTGCCACATTTCAGATACATGTCCCTCCCCATTAAATGATGATTCCACCAGCTGGAGCTTGAACAGCAGCTACTCAGCTACTCTTTGCATACCAATCAATGTGGTTTCCAAATCCTGGATATATAAATGTGTGTTCACAAATCTAGACTCCAGATAACATCTTCCAGCAGCTGTCGTCCTAAGCTTCAGTTTCCTCATAAGCTACCTAACGAACATCTGCCTTCAGCATAGTCAGAAGATCTTTCCTGGACACTTTGTGTCAGCCAACTTGATTTTCTGAAGGTCCCAATGCAGTGCTGCGTTGCCCAGTGTCTTGGGAAGCCACAATATTATAATATGCCTTCTTTGGGTAAAAGAGTGGCCAATTGAGGTTAGCGCTTTGGAAACTGTGTACGAAAAGGCCTTCAAAGCAAAAATAAAAACATTCTGCAGGTGTGTGTAAAGTTAAAAATTATGCATCTGCCCAAAGCCAACTTTCCACCACAAGTACCACAGCGATTGGCGTGAACACCCGCCCACTGCTGACGTCACTGCAGCCCCCGGGGGGGGGGGGACCGGGAGAGGCAGCAGCGTCTGCGCGTGCGCACCAGGCGAGGTCGCGCCGACATTGGCGGGGCAGTGCCGGGCAGTGCGCAGGCGCGGCCGCATGGACCGGGTGGCGGTTGCGAAGCTCGGGGCGGCGGCCGGCGCCGGGGTCTGCGCCGTGTTCGGGGGCGCCGTGTTGGCCCAGTACATCTTCACCATGAAGAAGAAAGCCGGCCGCAAGACCAAGATCATCGAGATGGTGAGTCGGGGCGGGTGGCTGTGTGGGAGGGCGGCCTTCACTGTCAGCCCCGGGGGGTGGGGGGGGGGGCAGTGCTGAGGGGGCAGTGCTGAGGGGCTCCACCGTTGGAGGTGAGTGTCTGAGACACCGAGAGAGGATAATAATAATAATAATAATAATAATAATCCTGCATTTGATATAGAACCGTATCACATTGTTGAGATGTCTCAGATCGCTTCGCGGAACGCGCTGTAAAGTGGAGCGACGGCATTTCGTCAACGAAAGGCTTGGGACACGCTTCCTCTCTCCCTCCGCCTGCGGCCGCTTCCTTCCCCGTCCTCACGTCGCGCCGGAAGGCTTTCCTACTGTCGCCTCTCGGCTCGGCATCGCGCTGCGCCGCGGTCGAGCACTCTGGGATGCTACCCAGGGCGAGGAACGCTGTGCAAATAAATGCCAGTTGCTGTAGCCAATTGCACGCAGCGTACAAAGCAGAGGGGGTGAGGGTCAGTGGTTCGGACGTAGGGGCTGCATGAGAATTATTGGCCGAATGGGGTGAGGGGCAGCGGAAGTGAGGGGACTGGGGAGGGGTGAGTGACGAGGCTGCGGAGGGGGAGAGAATGGGGTGAGTGGCTCAGCTGAGGGGCAGGCAGAAAATAAGTGGAAGTGGGGGTGAGTCACTGAACTATGGGGAAGTGAGGGGGTGGGGGAGCGGCCAGAATTGTGATTTGTGAGAGACAAAGGTCAGAATAATCCTAAATAATAATCCTTGCATTTGATATAGCACTTTTCACGTCTTCTAGACTTCTCAAAGCGCTTCACAGAGTATGCTGTAAAGTGAATTGACTGTACATTTGTGGGCAGCCAATTGCGCACAGCAGTGTCCCACAAACAGTCGTGGATTGAAAATGACCAATTTATTATTGTTTTTGTTTTTTGGAGGGATTATTATTAGGCGTGTGGAGAAAGGAAACTTGCACAACGTTTTGCCCTGCCTGGAATTGAACCCAGGTGTCTCGCTTGCAAGGCGAGTGCTCTAACCGCTGAGCTACAGGATTCCACAGAAAGTTATCTGCAACAGGAAACTGGATCTAAAATGTTCTTGTGGAAGCAACTTTAATTCTCTGTTGGGAGCTTTCAAGAGCCTTCATTTATAGTTCAATGCAGTATAAGTTGCTAATACAGTTAGCAGGGATTTGTACCAGCAGCTTGCTAATGCCAAACATTTCCTCCAGATGAAAATTATTGCATCATATTATTGGATTTGCTGTAGCATGGTTACTTTCCCTGACTTTCTAATAATAATAATAATAATTCTTGCATTTGATATAGCGCCTTATCACGTCTTCTAGACATCTCAAAGCACTTCACAAAATATACTGCAAAGTGAATTAACTGTATTTGTGGGCGAAATGCAGCAGCCAATTCTGCAGAGCAGTGTCCCATAAACCGTCGTAGATTGAGTGACCAAATTATTTTTTTGAAGACATTATTACCCCCGGAAAAGCGATCCGCCAATCAACTAACAACCAGGTTCCTACTTACTGCTAGGTAAACAGACTTGTGGTGTATGGAAACTTGCCTAACATTTCGTCCTGTTTGGGAACCAAGCCGGGGTCCTCTTGCTTACGAGGCGAGCATGCTAACCACTGCACAACAGGAGTACACTACAATACTCCATAGGCCTTGTGCTAAAACTTAGCTTATCCTGATCGGTTCAATGTTTTAAACCTTGGAAGTATGTCACTTGTTTGTCTCACAGTGTTCAGTATTATGAAGGCAGTACTATCCTCTTCAGGCACAGTTTATGTGTTGCATCATTTGTTGTGGAACTTGATAAAATTGAAATTGAATTGGATGCCAGATATATTTTTTAAAATTAGTGCACAGGGTAATTGCAATACAAAATTACATTTGTATAGCGCCTTTCACATCGGGAGGATGTCCCAAGGTGCTGGACAGTCAGGAATTTGGACCCAAACTGAGGATCAGGATCAGGGAGGGTAGGAGGGTGGCTGAAGGCGCGGTTGAAGAAGAGGGTTTTTAGAGACATGCCTTAAAGAAGGCAAGGGAGGGAGCAAGGCAAAGGGAATGTGGGATGGAGTTCTAAAGGGTGGGGGCAGAAAGGCTCAAGGTGGCGTGGGCCAGGTGGGGACGTGGAGCAGGCCACAGCATGCTGAGCGGACAGGTTGATATGGGGTCAGCAGGTCACAGAGGTAGGTATGAGGGCCTTGAAAGCCTTGAATAATGTACACTTGTGTGCTCAAAGTCTTTTTAAACAAAATTGTTTACTTGCATTATATAGGCCTTCAGCCTATCTGCCCCACTCTCTAGAACTATATCACTAAGTTCCTCTGATTCGCTTCTTCCCTCACCTTGTTCTTAAGACCTACCTTTTTGACTGAGTTTTCGGTCATCTTTCTCTTCCCGCTTCTTTGCTCCCCAGGTCTGGTGCCAAGCAATTATTGTATACTCAGTATCTGGCACTAAAAATGGCTGACTTCTGAATTGTCCGGTTGTCACTGACATCCCATCACAAAGCAAATTACATCAATGGCAATTCCTGCAGGAAGTGACGACCTAGAATTCATCATTTTTAAAAACCTCTTGTAACACATTGGCTGAATTAGTTGAACTAGCCAACGATTTCCCCTGTAGTCATAATTCCCCTGCAAAATAGCACATCTGTTGAAGCATTTTTTAATTTTTTAAAACATTTTATATACTACTGAATATCCATACGGAGGCAAATGTATATTTAAAAAGGCATCTTTAGAGTGACTCATATTAATTGCATTTCTCGTAGATGCCAGAGTTCCAGAAAAAATCTGTCCATATTAAGGACCCTGAGAGAGTAGAAGAGATCATCTGTGGTCTCATCAAAGGAGGAGCTTCTAAACTTCAAGTAAGCAATATTCTGATGAGACTGAACATTTCATGTTCAAAATGTAATTCATGAACTATGGCTGATAAATGATCTTTCCTGACTTCAATGTTTTTAACAACACTTTTTTTAAACGGATGATATTGACGTTTGCTTTACCTTGATTTGTTTTATCTTTTAGCAAGGTTTCAGATTACAAAAATAGCCAACTTTTGGGTTGTAAGGTTGCGGTGGATGTTGTTTTTGTATTCCAAAACATGATTAAAAGCAATGTGTAAGGATGGAAATTCAATTGCTCAAGTCAAAGCAAATTGGAAAAAAATACATATTTATGAAACATTGTCCCTATTGTTTCAATTTTTGCAGTGTTGCATAACTAAGTTCATTCCAATATTTTCAAATATAAACTTAGTTGAAATGTGCTTGCTTAAATATTGAATGCTATAATGAAACAGTATAATGTTTTCTCACTGTATTAACCTGTGATTCTTGCTGTACAGGATTCTCTAATATTTGGGTTTAAAGTTCTCCCAGTATATATCTAATTGATTTTTTTATTTCATATATTACAGATAATCACTGATTTTGATATGACATTAAGCAAATTCTCTCACAATGGAAAAAGGTGCCCAACTTGTCATAGTAGGTACTTCAATATGGTGGCAACATTTTATGACCAGATTTAATGGCGCTTCATGCTCTTGAGATGTTGCCACGCGTGAAGGGTGCTTTATAACTGTAAAGTATTCTTAATGCCTTCAGACTGCTAGATACTATGCAAAAAAAATTGACTCGGCATATGAATAATCCCATGCCAAATGAAGAACTAATAATTCCACTTTAGCTAGTCTGTGCCATGACTCACGCTCAAAGCAGGTACTGTCTAGAGACTTAACATATGCTTAAAACGACAGCAGGTGAGGTCAAATGTAATATCCTCATTACTGCCTTGACTGAAATCATTACACAGTCACTCCATTTTACAGCACGTCCTGTGAAAGCATTTTGAGATATCCTAACAACATGATAAGGCACTAAATCCATTGCAAGGAGTATAATTATTTGAACTGTGATTGACCACAAGTCCTTGCTAGGCTTAGTATCAGAAAGTGCATCCTTTTCATTTTTGGAGTTTTTTTGAAAGTCATTTTTCTCTAGTTGAAGTATGTCTTAAGGCCATCATCATATTAAAAAATACTGTCATTTATATATGTTTGATTTCTGTAGTTTTGAGTCTGTGATCACTCTTGATAACATTTACTTTAGTTGTATTTGAATGTGGAATGTAATATTAATGCAAAACTTGTAAATAAACAGTCAGAATGTGAACAATGAAAAAAGAGTTGTCACCTCTTCTGGATATCAAGTATTTATGTGTTTAATTTCCAAAATTGTTTATTTTGACAGACCTCATTGACAACTGCAAGTTAATCACAGAGGAGTGCAGAAAAAAGGTACTTTTTAAAAAGAGAAAATGTTTTTCATTTGTCGTGCTTTCATTTTTCATTTGTGTTTTTCTGTATCATAGTTGTTCCAAATTAGGGATAAATACTATCCTATTGAAATCGATCCTGCCCTTACTACTGAGGAAAAGTACCCTTTCATGGTTGAATGGTAAGTCCCAATACTACATCTATGCAATCTTCCTTGAACTATAAAATATGGTTCTGAAAAACAAAATATGTATCCTTTTATGTTCATTATATGTCGAACAACTAGATATTCTCTGATTTGTGCTGCAAAGCCCAATTTAAAGTATTTTTTCTCTTTTTATATTAAGCAGTATTATTTCTTCAGTAATAACCCTCAAAGTTAGTTGGATTGACGCAATTATATTATAATCCTTAAATTTTGATTTGGTGTTTTTGCATTATATGCAAAGACACCGTGGTTCTTTAGTCATTTGAGGAAGGAGTTTGCTTTAACACTAAATTAGTTGCCCATCCTCTCGGAAAAATAACTCATCAAAAGTTAATTTAATTTTGTGTGCTGTTTACTATGTACTCTTTGAAATGTTAAACCAAGGTCCCATCTGCCTGTTCACATAGATGTTAAAGGTCCCATGTTGCTTCCAAAGAGATTGGAGATTTCCTGGTCAACAATCCTCCTGCTAAATTGGCCATTCACTTCATGGCTGTTTGTGGGACATTTTTATGTGCAAATTACTGCCACATTTGCCAATAAATACAGAAGCACTATATTTGACATCAGTTTCCTGTGATGATTTTTGAGATATTTTGACATAGGCATTATATTAAATGAAATAATTGTTACTGCTTTTCTTCTTAGAATTCCGTAGAAACAAAATTGCAGTTTTATGTTTCATTTTAAAAATATTAACAATGTTATTATGTTGCATTTATTTTGCTTTAAATGAATTGAATTGTCAAGGGTTACACTTCCTGCTCTTTAACCATTGCATCAGGGCCCTGTTTAACAATGTGGGTATGGGTTTGAATTTAGTTCACAACATATTCAGATAAACTAAGACTAGGAAATGTATTTATATACTAGGAAATGTCATTAAATGGAAGATAGATTCTCCATTTTTCTCACTGCTATGTGCACAAACTTTCAGAAAGTGACAACTTCTCAGTCTACCAGGGTAGTTCTGAGCCAGGTGCTAGAGGAGCAAATAAGAGTAACTTGGACCTTCTGTATTTTGTTCTTTTTCTATTCTCTTACGTTCAGTATGAACTCAGTGACACATTCCTAGAATTGGGTATACAGTAGTTTGGGGTAATTGAACCTATATTCTACCACTGACTTAGTACTCAGGTTTGCTGTGGTGCCCAAATTATGTCTCTCTTTATCAGTCAAATTATAATTATTGTATAGTCTGTGTTAATATAATAATCCCTGCATTTGATATAGTGCCTTATCACTTCTTTGAGACATCTCAAAGTGCTTCACAGAATATACTGTAAAGTGAATTGACTGTATTAGCGGGCAAAAAGCAGCAGTAATTGAGTAAAGCAGTGTCCCACAAACAGTCATGAATTGAGTGACCACATTTTTTTTAAAAAAGGGATTATTACCCCCGGAAAAGTGATCTGCCAATCGACTATCTACCGGGTTTCTACTTATTGCTAAGTAAAAAGAGGCGTGTGGAGCAAGAAAACTTGCCCAATGTTTCACCCTGCCCAGGAATCGCTCTGAGACGCCATCCAGAGTGGAGGGCACTATATAAATCCAAGTTGTTGTTGTTGAATCGAACCCAGGCCCTCCCAAGTCGAGTACTCTAACTACTAAGCTACAGGACATTATGGTGTGGATAAGTTCTTCGTACAAGTATTATTTCAGCAGGTTATTTTCTTGAGATAGCAGTCCCCACATAGTATCTTGTCTAAAGTAAACGCTAGCAGATGGGTTCAAGTCTTACTTCCTATAGAATTTAAGCCCACTATCTTTATGGTGTGGAACATATTTCTTCTNAAAAAAAGCCTAGTCATCCTTCAACATTTAATGTGTTCAATTATTGATACAGTTCGTTTTAAATGCAGCATAAATCAGTCTTTATAGAAGATATGTGCCTAAATATTCATATCTCACTTTTGCATGTAAATATCTGGTTGCTATTGTGAAGTCTTTGATTAATGCTTAAAAGATTTATTTCATACCTGTTTTGTCTGCTTTGCTCCAGCTGATTTCAAAATAAATGCCTTCTTCTAGGTGGACAAAAGGCCACAATTTGCTAATCGAACAAGGTATTCAAAAAGAGGAACTGGCTGACGTTGTAAGAGAATCTGATGTCATGCTGAGGTACTAAAAGACTAACAAATTATTTGGAAGGAGTGGAGATGCACTTCTTAGTACAAAGCTGAAGAAATTCTAATTATTTTTAGAACTTTTATACACTGAAAAGTATGGATGTGGTGATATTTTTAGACTTTATTGAAATTTATGGTTGTCCATTTGCGTCTAATCTGATCCACCACCAATATTTGATGGTTGAATAACCTCCAACCCTGGAAATTGGGAAGTTTTAGTATGTTTCAACAGTTGAAATGTGCAGTTTGATTTTACTTTATTCATGCTTAACATATAATCAGTTCAAATAAACACTCACTACTTTCTGAACAAAGAGTTTTCATGTAATTAATGTTCTGGCATCCTAACGTTCCAAATTCGGCACAATATTGCGATATAAATGGCAAGTCATGAACTTTAGGTGCATGACTTTTACTTTCTAGGGATGATGTAAATGTGTCTTCAAATTAAATAGAGCTGGTTGGTGAGCTTCAAAACCATATTCGGCTCTGAGATTGTGGGTTCAAGTCCCACTGCAGAATTTGAGTTTATAATCTAGTTTTATACTCCAGTGCAGTACAGGGGAGTGGTGCGTCGTCAGAGGTATAATTTTCATTAAGACTTTAAATTGATGTCCTGTCTGCCTGTTCTTCGGGTAGAAATTAAAGATCCTATGAAATGTTTTGAAAAGATGAAAGTTTCTCTTGTGTCCTAGCAAACAATCATCTTGATTGATGAGTTGTTATTCACCTTATGGTTGTTTGGTCGGAATTTGCTGTATACAAATGGCTAGCATATTTATATACAAAAACAGTCATTATACTTGACAATATTTATCTTTGAAGTACTTTGAGGCATTTCATTATAGGGCACGCTAAAAATTCAAATGCTAGGCATTTCCTGTGATTCAACATATGACCTGTAATTGGCTCGTTGAAAGTTAATTATTGTTGAGCACATTTGATATGAGTATTTTCTGCTTTGTGAACTTAAAACATGTTGTCCATTCCAGAGATGGTTATGATCTGTTCTTGGATAAATTGAATGAACACAACGTCCCAGTGTTCATATTCTCAGCTGGCATTGGCGATGTACTCAAGGAGATTATGACACAGGCTGGAGTCTTCTACTCTAATTTAAAAGTCGTCTCCAACTTCATGGACTTTGATGAAACTGTAAGTTAGCCTTAAGTGAGACTTTGCAAGAAGACATTTTATTCTGTAATTTTTTAAAATATTGTAAAAATTCTTTGCAGCAGGACTAGTAATAATTCTGCGCATATCACAGCCTTTATTTTGCAAATTAAGATATATGAGTATTTTTGTGTCATCTCAAAGAACGCTCTTTGTACCGTAAAAGCTAAGTGGAGTAAAGCTGCATCATTCTGGGTCAATTGCAAGGCAACTTTTTTCATACTTGTTACTGCTGAATAGACTTTTATTAATTCCTTTGTGACATATTATTTGAATCTGTGCTTCACACCTTTATGTTTCAGGGTGTTCTGAAAGGTTTTAAAGGTGAGCTCATCCATGTTTATAATAAACATGATGGTGCCCTGAGAAACACTGAGTACTTCAACCACCTGAAGGAGAATTGCAACGTCATTCTTCTTGGAGATTCACTTGGAGACTTGAGTATGGCAGATGGCGTCCAGAATATTGAAAGCATTCTCAAGATTGGATTCTTGAATGACAAAGTAGGAAATTCTATGAAAAATGACTGTGTTCAATAACCAGAGCAAGTGAAAATCTGTCAAGATTTTAGTGAATTCTGCAGGAGTATTTTCTCACAGATTTTTAAAAAAAACACAAGTAGAAATATTCAGTACTAAATGATTGATTAAACCAGCAACATTTCATTAACCATTACATTTATGCACTTGTTATAGCAGTATTGTCTTGGAATTGAAACTCCTATTTGTTAAATGTAAGTATTTTATCTTACAATAACTGACTGGTGACTCCAACAACAACAACAAATTACATTTGTATCGTTCCTTTCATGTCAGTAGGATGTCCCAAGGCTCTGGACAGTCAGGGATCCTCACCCGAGCTGGGGGTTGGGATTAGGAGGGGTGGAGGGAGGTTAGGAGTAGATGGGCGACCGAAGGCACGGTCGAAGAGGAGGGTCTTGAGATGGGTCATGAAGGAGGCAAAGGAGGGGGCGAGGCAGAGGGACTGTGGGTTGAAGTTCCAGAGGATGGGAGTAGGGAAGCTGAAGTCCTGCCTGCCAATGGTGAAGCAGGCAAGGTGGGGAACGTTAAGCAGGCCGAAGTCTGCTGAGCGGAGGAAGAGGACAGATTGGTAGGGGGCAAGGAGGTCAAAGAGGTAGGGAGGACCAAGCCATGGAGGGCTTTGAAGGTGAGGCCCAGGATCTTGAACTGAATCCTCTAAGTGATGGGGAGCCAGTAGAGCCGGGGTGAGGATGGGGGTGATAGGGTCGTGGAGCCTGGTGCGGGAGAGGGCACAGGTGGCAGAGTTCTGGATGATCTGCAGCCACTCCAAGGTAAAAGGATCCAATGATGAATTATCCAATGTGACGAGTCATCAATAGATGTGCTTTTTGCCTATCTATATACAATTCAGTGTTGCCAGTCTTTTAAGTTACAATAAATAAACCCTCATAAATGCTGTTGGATAATTTGATGAACAAACTCAGTCCAGCAGCCCTTACTCACAGAGCCATTGGTACTCACCTTATTCTGTTATGATGCTGGCTCCTCTCTGACAAACCCCTTGAAGCTGCGTTTTCTTGCTCATTCAGCCAGCTTCCACTCACTGCGCATGCACGACCAACCTCTGCCAAGCCCCTGCACCAGTAACAGGCCACAGACAGACCTTCCAATAGATCAGAGGCCTCTATGATGCAATAATAATATTAAATTATAATATATTGGGATGCAATGATGCTAGCATGAGCCCCACCATCTTCCCTCACCATTGTTTATAGGACGAATTATCCAATCAATTTTACATTGAAATACTTACAAGAATTTCTACAAATGTGACAAGTTATATGTTAAATGACGAGCAAATCCTCATCAATGGTTTAAATGGAAAGCCGTCAGGATATTGAAGACGTGACTTCAATATAGTGATAAAGATGGATTAAGCCAGGGTCGACTTATCTAGAGTTTACTGTATTTCCTGTATTACTTTGCAAAACTCCCAAGGCACTGTCTTGCTAGATGAATGCAAGTTGGTGGTTGTGGTGGTAGCTGTTGTGCTAAAGTTGTTCTGAGTGAGATTCTGTGACTGCCGCTGCTGAAGCTGGTCTGATTGCAGTGACAATAGCAATTATTTTGATTGGTATCTTCATCATTGAATGTTGGCCACCTTTTTCACAGCTATCACCACCCCTTATTGACTATTTGATGATACTCCTTGCTCTGATTTTTTTTGTTTTAAACATTAAATTTCAGAGGGATCGGGTAACCAATATAAATATTTTGATGTATACCCTAGGATGACTCAACGTGGTCAAGCATAGGAATAGGACTGGGCCATTCAGCCTTCAAATCTGTTCTGTCATTTTATTACATCTTGACAGATATTTTAATCCCATTTATTCTTTATATTCCTTCATATCTCTAATCTCATTTCTAACTATCATAGTTCTAATTTTGATTATGCCCTTTTGTTTTGTAGAAAAATAGCCTTAATTGGTTGATTTCCATTTCAGTAAAAACATTACTAGTCAAAAGCTGACATGCATACCATGATCCAACTGAACACATGAAGGGCTAGCAAGGGGTCGCTGGTGGTCACTGTTAGCTTACAGTACTGTTATGTCCGACACCTCCGAATGGATCTTATAAATGCACAACCTAAATTTTTGTTCTCTTTAAACCTACAGGTGGAAGAAAGTTTAGATACGTACATGAACTCTTATGACATTGTCCTTGTAAGAGAAGGTACATTGGATCTGCCCAATGCTATTCTTCAGAAGATTCTGTAATGTGAAGACTAAAGGTGCTCACCCATGACTGGAGCTTCAATTCAGCGGCTACTCTATATTCTTAAAGGAAATCTTATGTTTTAAAAAAAATCCAACCTTTTTACTGAATGTATTGCTCACTCGTAAATTAAAAAATGGATGTGCTCTGGGACATTTTTTCACTAAAGTAGGCAAAGGTAGATGGTTTGCACAATGAATAAGCAGAATTTTACCTGTCCAGTATTTTAACCTGTCCTTTTTAACACAATCAGGACTGTAAAGCCAAAGGCCTGCTTCACAGATTTACACAACTAAATTTAATTAAATGTTATAGTTTAAAATCTTTTGAGTTTTAAAAAATGTCTGTGGTGTTTAATGTGATTCCAAGATTATTGTAAACCTGATTTGCTGAGTGCCTCTAATCAGCTGTTAGGAACAAGTAAATCACAAGTTGTCATGTCTAAGGGGTGAGCATTCAGAGTTCTCCATTTAAGTGTTTCAAAAGCTTAATCAGCTGTAGATAGTTCTGAGTGAATGTGAGTTACCTTTGATAATGTACTTCAAAGAAAAAGTTGTAAAAAGCTGAAATTCCTGTAGTTTTTTATGTACAGTATTTCTCACATGTCCACTGCTTATTTCTTTGATATTTGTTTTAAATATTGAACATTGTTGGTTTCTATTGCTTTAAGAGAAGTCATTTTTATGTTTCAATGCATCAATACAGCCCTCTGCTCAAATAACCTGAACTATAATTATCAGGGTGGACATTCAAACAAGAATTTGTCCAATCGTTATCAAAACTTACTGTTGAATTACAGAATGTATCAATTGTCAGGGGAAAGGATGTATAGCCATTCAATTAAAACACTGAAAGCTATTAATTCTTGATGAAATATATGTGGTGCAATATTGATGATGAACCTGTTAGCCTGTCTTTGCAAGCCAAAGCACAGCTGATAAGGTGAACAAGTAACGGGAAGCTTGCCAATGTTTGTAATAGTAAGATGTGCAGTTTAAGCTAGCTAAAGTCTGTCAGTATCCAAATGCACCCTGGCTGTCAAAGTGTATCGCTATTCTCTGGGATTAGGTAAACCAGGTATATCTATATAAAAAAAACTGCAAACCAAACTAAGTGGAATTCTCAATACGTTGATTGAAGACTTGGTTTTCATGGGGCTGGGTTTCCACTCCAATGAAAAATTTATGTCAAAAAATATTGACCTGAGAAACGATATACAATTGAACATGTTTGATCAAATTTGATGCTTCAATGCTTCCAATAGTTCTGGCTATTTTTGTCAATTATCGTATTCTGAAAAGGTGTGCAATAATGTAGATATACCTATTGTTGATTAAACTTAGCCATTTCAGCTCTGTAATTTTTACTTTGCTGCTCAAGATAAGAAGTTCGAAGTCTGGGCCCTATGATGTCAGCACACTTGGGGAATGTTACTACTGTTAAGACGTAGGATCTCCGCACCCCCCACCCTCCCCCCCAATAAAAAAAACACACGGCTAAAAAAAATCAGGAGATATATTGATAATCTAAATGTACAATGGGAGAATTTCAAGCTAACCATCTTCTTGCGAGTAACTGCCTCCCACCCCCCGACTTTAGTTGGTGTTCTGCACAGTAAGAAATAGTCATCACTACAGTGGGTATCTTCCACAAGATAACTTCTGAAGCATAGTTCCTACTAAGATACCTGGAGTGCCTCCTCTCGTAATGTTGATTGTGTCATATCCTTTAATTAAAATTAAATTGTCCACATCCTTGTATACTATTCATGACCAAAAACTAATGCACACCTGAAAAAAATCCAGTTTTTGAAAAAGGAAGTTTTTAAAATAATTAATCTAATTTTCCTCCTTCCCGAAAAATCAATGGTGCAGACCACACAGATCACAGAAAAGAAATCATACACAAAGGCTACCAAACACAAGGGTATTTATTCAATAGAAAAGGTTTACAAAGCCAAAAAAAACTGTTCAGATTTAAAAATGAACTTGGATTTAAAAAACGTGTAAGTCATGGTGCTCTGTGTAAAGCAAGTGAAAGACCGCAATAGTTACCAAGAGCGATACTTCAAGATGTATAACTCGTGAAAAACCTTGGTCCCTAAGGAAACATGTTTCCAACACAATACAATTTTTGTAATCGGTACCGCAATGTGATTTCTGCATCTTTCATAAAAGTTCGCTGATATTAAAATCCTGCTAACTTTTGGGGAAAAAAGAACAATAAAATTTACTTTAAGAAAAAAAACACAGAGCTAACAAAAAACTAGTTTTCTTTACCCAAACCTATCTATTCACGATCTGCCCTGATATTCCTGGAACTGTACTAAACTACCACCCAGAAGAAACAATAAAAACCAATGCAATTTAATTTCACAATTAAAATTAGATTTTGTTTTTGCCAAAATGCAAAGTCAAACACGTTTTGAGAAATTGTTGTTGGAATTTCTTTCAGACAATTGTATTTCCAGAAAAGAATTCCTTCCAAAAATGACAGGCTTTTTCAACTATTTGCTTCAGTCAGAATAGTTACGGTGCTTTTAATTTAATTACAAGACAGTATTAAGTGAAATAATAGGATCCAGCACAAGACAACCACGAAAAGGTAAAATGTTACATAAAATTGACTGGTGATTGCTGGAATCAATGCCTGGAGAAGCGTCATTGGGTTAACATATCCTGTAACTTAATATTTGCCAGAACTTGACTGGCTCAACAAGTATCGCCTCTACATTTCAACTTGAGTACAAGGGGCAGAGTTTTACGCAAATCTGGATGCATTTCACAGAAAATATAGTGAAAGTTTGTTACTACAATTGTATCTGGACTTATTCTATCAATTCTAAATATTGAGGTGCTGCTGAAAGTACCTTGTGTTCCCAACTGTAAACAAGAAAGTTCAGTCTAAGTGCTAGCAAGCCTTGAACACAGTAATACTGAAGGCTGACACCTGAGCTGTAACTACAATGTTTGGACTAGTGTGTCAAAGGGGGACAAAATAGTCCAAATCTTGGCCTGGTCTGAATGGCTTTGGACTATAAATGCATTCAGGAAAAAGTGAACATTCTCTGTTCAACCTGATAAATAGAACTACAAATATTCAATGAATGGATATGGATACTCATCTTTAAATAAAAAAGAGTTCACTACTCTCATCAATAAAAATTGCTGAGAGTATGTCAGTTAAATCTTTGTTGAGAATTTCCACTTTACCAATCTTGTAACTTGTTACATGAGATGTGGCTACCTGGCAAATGTGCTGAAGAAAGTCTGCAATTCACAAAGACCTGAGGTTTGTGTGCACTACCAGTTAATGTTTCCAGACAGAATGATTAACTTGGTTTTTGATCTTGAAGATAACATTTGTCGATTGATTTAAGTACGCTTTTTCTCTCAGATGGAGACAACCACTGCAGAGGGTGGCACCATAAATAATCACTTTCCACATCCACTGGGGCAGTAATATACTGTATGCAAGAAACTGAGTGGGATCAAGTATGCATTCCTGAGGGACCCCTTGTAAATGACACAATAAGTTGATCAGCACCTATTTTCATGACTTGGTATATGCATGGTCTGACGGATACACAATCTTGTAAGCTGCAGGAATTGTGGAAGGTCATTAATCGTTGGAGCACAGTATATAGCAGAAATGAAGACAGTGCTATTTCATATCACAGCAGTGGAAAAATAATACTAACATACAGATAAATAGAAGTTGTATGTTAGCCACTAATGACCTACAAAAATAAATTGATAACTAATTTGTGTGTGTTGTCAGTCATGTTGTGAGGGATTTATTGCAAACTAACTTGATGTTTACCATCAAATTGCATAATGTAAAAGGGGATCAAGTAATTCTAAATAATGTTTTGGAGTGCATCATTTTATTTCACATCCTGCTCTGACTCTGCCACAATTGGATTTGTGCGATCAGGTGATGTGAACTTGCACCTTTTTGGTCAGTAATTTTCGACTGGAGTTTAAAGCACAAAGTTATGCAGCAAAGCAGAGGAATAGGAAAATGAAAATAATTTGGTTGGTTGTGGGGGTTTGCACATGGTATCACTGTTGGTACAACAAGGAATATGTGATCACAACTATGAAACCATATTATCATCTCTGATGCATTTGCTAGCCTTGAATGTATATATAGCATATGTGTTACAAATTCTGGGATTGTTAAATAACTCACAATCTCACAACTTTTTGAATTTATGGGTACGGAGCCCTCTTAAATCAAAGGTCAAACATGACTAAAGGAACTGGTGATATTTTCCTTTATGCTCATTTAATCAATGAAGTAAGTAAACATATTTAATTACTGGCAAACTGAGGATGTACAAAATAATTGTCAGTGGTGCTTACTTTCATGATTGTTAGGCTTTAAACATCTCCCCCTGTATTCCACATGCAATACCGATTCTAAGTCTGCAGAATCCAATGACAATGTAATAGTATTTTAATGAATGGTGCAGAATGACAAGAAGTGCAACAACTCATCATTGTATGATTATATGATAAATATGCGGTCAAAACTGATGGAAGATTAACTTTGCTTTGGCTCAGGAGTTCTGATTGTCAATGTGTATTAAAATCAATGTGAAATTAGGTATCAAGCAAAACATCATATGTACCCGGAATGTAGAGCGCCATCGTGATAGGAGGGTGAGGGCTAAAAGATCATTATCTATAATTGTCTTCCCAACTACTGAAAAATACAAATACAAAAAAACACCTCGCAAACACCTTAGGAACACCTTACGTCAATAAAAACATTACCAGGAAGTAAATCCACAATTTGTGTGAACACAATACCTTATTCAAGCTTGGTTGTATCCTTCACAGAGTAAATGAACCAGTGGGATTAGTACGTTTGTTGTAACAAACCTACAATACTGTTTTGCAGCTATTAGCCAGTAGGTTATCACTGTTGTTCAGTGAAACATGGATATAACCCACCTCCAAGCCAAAAAACACCTGTAACCCTTTACTCCTCCATTCAGTAGCAGCATAGATTTGCACTGTTTGGTTTAAAGCTCATCGTGATGGTTGTTCTCCTCATCTTTCAGCTTGAATTCGTTAGCAGTAATCTTGCCATCCCCATTCCGGTCCTGGTTTGTGAACATATTTTCAATAATTTTGTCTGGATCAAACCCAGGGGCCAGCTTCCCATTGCCAGATGCTACTTGAGCCAGGATATATTTGGAAAACTGCAGCAGTGAAGAGGAAAAAGTGATTTTAGAGAGTACCAAAAAAGTCCAATTAATAGTACTCAGAAAGTACCGGAAGACAACATCCAGCTCAGAGAACATAAGAACATAAGAAATGCTAGATAAAAAAGGCCAAGGTCCATCTAGTTCGCCTTTCACCTTCCTGGCTGTCGCATGCACATATGTCCTGAACTACCTATGTACTATATCCCGTAATGTTATTTCCTATGAGGTACCGAATCTTGACAGTACTCTTAGACTCAGGATCTGAGCTTAGCCACCATCACTGGAAACATAACTGATTTTATACAGAGAGAGTTTTGAGGGCTCTTTTGAATTACAAAAGAGATGAGAAGGATCATACTACAACAACAACAAAAAATTACATTTGTACAATGCCTTTCACTTCAGGAGGACATCTCAAGGCGCCTGACAGTTAGGAATCTGGTCCCAAGCAGGGAGTTGGGATCAGAAGGGGTGAAGGGCAGGGAGAATAAGGGTAGGAGGGTGACTGAAGATGCCTTGTAGGAGGCAAGGGAGGGAGCAAGGCAAAGGGACTGGGATGGAGCTCCAAAGCATGGGGGCAGAGAAGCTGAAGGCCCGATTGCCGATGGTGGGGTGGGGTGGTCCAGGCGGGTGGACATGGAGCAAGCTCGTGCCTGCTGAAAGGAGGGAGCGGACAGGTTGATTTAGCAGTAGTAGGTTGCAGAGGTTGGAAGGAGCAAGGCCGTAGAGGGCCTATGATTTTTTGGGAAGCATCCAGAAAGCATCCACACTGCTTCATGGAGTTCTGATTGGTTGGGGAGTATGAGAAAGTTGGATAGGAAAAAAAACAAGTCACTTTCCATGAATAGAGTCATCGGGTTCTGTTATATGGCAATTCATAATAGAGTCATTATAGAGGTGGGATAGCGACTTCTCATAAACAAAAGTGTGTCATCCTGTCCTGCAGGAAATATGCTTTGATCTATTTCTAGTTATTAGAGTTCCTGTAGGTTGGTGCAAACCATGTCTGGTTACTGAAAGGATTTGTTGTTTGCAAGTCCAGTTGGAGTTATGCAGTTTTGCTGGTGTTCCTACCTCCCCCTCCCCATTCCAAACCAATTCCTGAAATAAACCGGCCAGTAAGCAGATGCCAAAATGTTGCCATTCTACTTGTGAGCTGACCACGATCTGTTGTGCCTAACCATTTTAGAGGCAATTTGATCAGTGATAACTACTGATTTTGCAGGGTGAGTGGGTCGCATTCTTTGTCAATTGTTAACTTTAATGGTGTAAAGTTAAATGGGAAAATGCAAACCATCACAGTGGGGGTGTTACATGAGTTTGATTTTAGATGATTAAATTGCAATAGTTTATACTCGATTCTGCCAAATCAATATTAAGATATACAGCTCCAACTATAAATTGAGCACACTACTGTAGTTGTTTTTCACCCAGGGTCCTGGCCAACAATTCCCTCAACCTTCTCTGCTCCAATGAAAACAAGCCAAGCTTCTCCAACCCCTCCTCAAAATTGTAGCCCGTCATCCTCGGAATCATTGTTGCAATCTCCTCTACAATCTCCAAGGCTCTAATATCTTCCATGAAGTGAGGTGCCCAGAAATGGAACAATGCTCCAGTTGTGGCTTAACCGATTTATACAAACTTAGCATAACTTTTTACTTTTGTACTCTATTAACCTTGTGTCTAAAACCCAGCATACTTTTAGCCTTCTTTACAGACTTTACTACTTGCGATGCTACTTTCAATGACTGATGTACCTGCACTCCCAAATCCCTTTGTTCCTCAGCTCCTTTCAAGCTATTCAATGCCATTCAATGACAATGATACTGCCATTCAATATAATGTTTTTTTTAAACAAAATGATTCATGTCACATTTCCCTTCATTGAAACTCATCGGCCACTGATTAGCCCAATGTGCTAATCTGTTTAGATCCTCTTCAGTCTCTTGCCATCCTCATTCACTATTCACAATACTTCCGAGCTTGGTATCATACGCAAACTTTGGTTCCGTACCCCTATATCCAAGTTGAGGTCATTGATTTGAATGGAACAATGTAAGTATCACAACACAACATCATGATTCATTTATTATGGATAAATTATTTGACATGGGATTTCACAAACTAAAAATAAACTTACCTCCTCTAAAATAACCTCTTTATCTTCATTCTTATCCATCTCTTTGAAGAGATCTGGAGAAACTTCTTGGTTCCAGATGAACATGTAACCGTCTGGGAGGCCTGCATCCAATTCCATCATTTCAACATCGAAAACTAACACAGCGCTCCCAGGCACCTCCCCAGCTGTAAGATAAACACTCATGATATGTGATTCCCATCTCATTCTAGTAAAAGGGCATTGTTATGCTATGATGTTCAAATACTTTTCCATGGCAATCAAAGAATTGCAGGTCTCAATACGCTACATTGACCAATATTCACAAGGCTCCTCACTCCTGCGGGCCGGATGGAGGGAGTGGATGCAGGTGGGGGGGGGGGGGGGTTGGGGGGGATCTATAGTATAGTAAGATAAAATAGATGTTCTAGCTCTGAAGATAACTTGAAGCAGAAAAAAAACATTTGCCAAAAACACCAATCCTACAGCTACCATCTCCAAATTACATTTCAGAAAAGTCTCATTTTGCGCTTGACCATCAATTGACCATTAATTGTTACTATCAAAAATGAATGTGGGTCCATTGCAGGCAGAGGCAGGAGAAATTATAATGAGGAATAAAGAAATGGTAGTCATTAAACATTGTTTTGCTTCTGTCTTCACGTTAAGGACACTGAAAACTTACTGAAAATTGAGGGGAACCTGGAGGCTATTGTTAGTGAGGAACTTAAAGAAATGAACATCAGTAAAGCAATAGTACTAGAGAAATTGATAGGATTAAGAAATGATAAATCCCCTGGACCTGACAGCCTGCAGCATAGGGTTTTAAGAGGTGACTGCAGAGATAGTGGATGCTTTGTTTTTGATCTTCCAAAATTCCCTGGATTCTGGAATGGTTCCCAGTGATTGGAAGGTCGCAAATGTAACGCCGACATTTAAGAAGCGTGGGAGACAAAAAATGGGCAACTATAGACCAGTTAATCTGACATCGGCGATAGGGAAAATTCTAGAGTCCTTAATTAGGGACGTCGTCGTGGGGTACTTAGAAAATCATAACCTGATTAGGCAGAGTCAACATGGCTTTACGAAAGGGAAATCACGTTTAACAAATCTTATAGAGTTTTTTGAGGATGTAACTACAACAACAACAAGATTCCATTTATAGAGCGCCTTTCACGTCGGGATGACGTCCCGAGGCGCTGTACAGTTGGGTCAGGACCCAAGCAGGGGGGAAATGGTCAGGGTGAGGGGAGGGAGCGAGGAGGGGGGAAATGGTCAGGGTGAGGGGAGGGAAGGGAGGGTGCGAGGAGGGGGAAATGGTCAGGGTGAGGGGAGGGAAGGGAGGGAGCGAGGAGGGGGAAGAGAGTCGAGAGGGGAGCTGAAGGCTCGGTCAAAGAGAAAGGTTTTGAGACCGGCCTTGAAGGAGGAAAGGGAGGAAGCAAGGCGAAGGCACTGGGGGATGGAGTTCCAGAGCCTGGGGGCTGAGAGGCTGAAGGCCCGACCACCGATGGTAGGGCGGTTGGGGCGGGGGACGTGGAGCAGACCGGAGCCAGAGGAACGGAGGGTACGGGCAGGTAGGTAGGGGGATAGTAGGTCGGAGAGGTAGGAGGGAGCAAGGCCGTGAATGGCCTTGTAGGTGAGGATGAGGATCTTGAAATCAATCCTCTGGGGGATGGGGAGCCAGTGGAGGCGAGCGAGGGTGGGAGTGATGTGGTCCCTGGTGCGGGTACAGTACACGAGCTGCAGAGTTCTGAATGACCTGCAGCTTGTGGAGGGAGGTGGCGGGAAGGCCGGCGAGGAGAGAGTTCCCATAGTCCAGCCTTGAGGTGACAAAGGCGTGAACCAGAGTTTCAGCAGCGTGAGGGGTGAGGTAATGCCGTAGTCTGGCGATGTTCCGGAGGTGATGGAAGGCGGTGCCAGTTGTGGTGCGGATGTGAGGGAGAAAGGACAGCTCAGGGTCGAACAAAACGCCGAGGTTCCTGACTGGCTTTGAGAGGTGGAGAGTGCAGCCTTGGATGCTGATGGTGTCAGCGCCTGAGGTGCGGAGGCGCTGACGTGAGCCAATCAGGAGGGCCTCGGTTTTTCGCACGTTGAGCTGAAGAAAGTTGTCTCTCGTCCAGGACTCGATGTCGGACAGGCAGGCTGTCAGGACATCGGTGGTCGTGGAGTTGAGAGTAGAGGAGGAAAGGTAGAGTTGGGTGTCATCCGCATACATGTGGAAGTTAACTCCATGTCTGCGGATGATGTCACCAAGGGGGAGCATATAGAGGGTGAAGAGGAGGGGACCGAGGACAGAGCCCTGAGGGACACCACATGAGACAGTGCGGGGGGTGGAGGAGAAGCCATTCGTCGAGACAAAATGAAGACGGTGAGAAAGGTACGACCTAAACCATTCAAGGACAGTGCCTTGAAGGTTGAGGTGGGAGGACAAGCGGTGGAGTAGGATAGCGTGGTCGACCGTATCGAATGCTGCCGATAGGTCGAGGAGGACGAGGAGACAGAGGGAGCCCTGGTCACAGATGGTCAGGATATCATTGGTGACCTTGACCAGGGCAGTTTCTGTGCTGTGGGCAGGTTAGATAGGGGGGAACCAGTAAATGCGGTGTATTTGGATTTCCAGAAGGCATTCGACAAAGTGCCACATAAAAGACTGTAGAATAAGATTAGAGCCAATGGAATTAAAGGTGATATATTAGCATGGATTGGAGAGTGGCTAACAGGAAGAAAACAGAGAGTACGGATAAACAGGTCCTTCTTAGATTGGCAGGATGTGACGAGCAGAGTGCCACAAGGATCAGTGCTTGGGCCTCAATTATTTACAGTCTATATAAATGATTTAGATGAGGAAATAGAACTTAATATATCTAAATTCACGGACGACACAAAGCTAGGTGGGAGAGTAAGCTGTGAGGATGACACACGAAGAATGCAAAGGGAAATAGGCTAGGTGAGTGGGGAAGAAGGTGGCAGATGGAGTATAACATGGGGAAGTGTGAAGTTATTCACCTAGGTAGTAAAAATAGAAAAGTGGATTATTTTCTAGAGGGGGAGAGACTACATAGTGTTAGTGTTCAGAGGGATTTGGGTGTCCTTGTACACCGGTCACCAAAAGTTAGTATGCAGGTACAGCAAGCAACTAGGAAGGCTAATGCCATGTTGGTGTTCGTTGCAAAAGGGTTAGAGTACAAGAGTAGGGAAGTCTTGCTGCAGTTGTATAAGGCCTTGGTGAGACCGTACCAAGAATATTGTGTGCAGTTTTGGTCTCCTTATTTAAGAAAGGTGGTGCAGCGTAGATTCACTAGGTTGGTTCCTGGGATGAGGTGGTTGATCTATGAGGATAAGTGGAGTCCTGTAGCTCAGTGGTTGGAGCACTCGCTTTGCAAGTGAGAGACTTGAGTTCAATTCCAGGCAGGGTGAAAGCTTGGGCAAGTTTCCTTACTCCACACTCCTAATAATAATCCCTCAAAAAAAAAACAATAATAAATTGGTCATTTTCAATCCATGACTGTTTGTGGGACATTGCTGTGAGACTGTTTCCCCTGGTTGGAGAATCTAAAACTAGGGGTCATAGTCTCCAGATTAAGGGTCAGCCTTTTCAAACTGAGTTGAGGAAAAATTTCTTCACTCAGAGGGTAGTGAATTTGTAGAATTCTCTACCCCAGAAGGCTGTGGATGCTCAATCCTTGAACATATTCAAGACCAAGGTTGATAGATTTCTAAAGGATAGAGGAATATGGGGATAGGGTAGGTAAATGGAATTAGGTTAGAAGATCAGCCATGATCTTATTAAATGGCGAGGCAGGCTTGAGGGGTCAAATGGTCTACCTCTGCTCCTTCATCATACTTAAAATTATGACACTGGAAATGAAGACTCAGTTTTATGAGTATTGCAACTGCCAAGTTGATTTCCTTTATACGTCAGATGTTGTTAATGAATCCTGTATCCAATATTCTAGAGTCAGATGCTTAAGAACTTCAGATTTCATTCAGTCCAGCCAAGCATCAATCTACACACGCTTGCTCTGCATTCTCCTACATCCCACTCTCCTGCTATATGTCCCTCACCCCCTCTGTCCTCCATTGGAAGTCAAACTTTCAGCTGTTATACCCTTCTCTCTGGAATTCCCTCCCAAAATCCATCCGCTTTGCATCCTCCCTCTCCACTTTCAAAACCCTTCTGAAAACCTCTCCGTGTTCCTGTGTTTTCAGTCATCTTCATCGTGTATCCGTCAAACCCCCAGACCCAATCAATTCTGTAACCGATATTGTCTCTGAAAGCACTTTGAGACATTATCCGGAGTGAAATGTGAAGTGAAAACAATTTATTATGAACTCATGGCTGTGTTTTAAAATTCACACTGCAAGATTTTAAAAGTCCCACAGTTTTACATACCGACTCCTTTTTCTCCATAACCCAGGTGAGGTGGAATAACAATGGTTCGTTTCTCTCCGACACACATATCTCTGAGGCCTAAGTCCATCCCCAAAACCACTTGGCCAGATCCCAGGACAATGTTGTAGGTTTTCCCATAGAGGTGCCTGAAAAAAAAATGAAAGCTTCCAGTTTCTGTTCTCTAATATATGAAAAAAATAGCTTTGACTACAGTTAAAATAGTCATCTCCAATAATAGTTAAAATCGGCTATTCACTTCATGGCGGTTTGTGGGAAATTGCTGTGAGCAAATTGGCTACTGGATTTGCCTACAAATATACAGTCACTGTACTGATCAGCAATTTCTCTGTGAAGCATTTTGAGAATGTTCAATGTTATTGGTGCTGTACTGAACATAATTGAAAGCTGCTGAATACTGCAGAGGTATGATTGGTTGAGTGGCCTTTTGTTTTACTTCGCCAAAACACCAAGGGAAACATCCTTTTGTTCTCGAGGATTACCATTGCAGCAACGCATCATCAGTAGGGTAAAATTAACCCATCTCATGAGAATAAAATGTACACATTACTTTATATTGTTCTGCTGTCTCTTTGCACATAAAATTACTCAGCTCTCATTTCTCTCATATTAGGCATCATACTTGTTGGTCTCTGTTGCACTGCCGCCATGAAGCTCTTTGGCATGTTTCGGCACGATATCATGCTATTTCAAATCCAAGAAAAAGTGGGCCACTCAATTAATCGCACTTCGGTAGTACTTCTCAGCTTTCAATCTGGATTTTTTTTACATCTGTATTCGATAGAGCACTTCAATTGCAGACTAATTATAATAACAACCCTTGCAACCCAACATCTTTCTCAAGATGCTGCTGAAAATAATATTCATTCAGCGACAGGTTTGGGGAAAATGAAAGGAGATCCCTGGGAAAAAATACAATTTGCGAGAAGAAACTAAGTTTTTTTTAAAAAGTTGAAAACCTGGTTGCAAGAGATCTACCCGTCACATCAGAGCACTTGGCCACAGCAGACACTGTATCAGACATACCTTCCTCAAAGTCCTTGACGCTGCTCCAAGTATCAAACACTGCCTCGGACTGGAGGCTAGTTCACACTAAACAGTGAGACTGATTTTTGTCTCGCATCAGTGAGCTCACCTACAAACTTCCCATTGGAAAAGCCATTCGCAGGACAACAGGAATTCCTGTAAAAGCCATTCTATAAGTATATTGATGAGAAATTAATATAATGTTGATCCCATTCAGATTAGAAAATGGTGTGAGTAAAAGCCATTTGGTCTGTAAAACACACTCTTTCCACTAACCTCAGAAAACGTGCCCACTATTCCCCTTCCCCACTGTATCTTGCACAAATACCTGAAGGCAATCAAACAAAAACTCCAGAATATATATCCAAACCCACATCTACGCTATTCACCCCTGGTTTCCTTCACTTCATAAATAACACTCCAAACCCTTTTGTGCAGACTTGTTCTCAGTCTATATGTATTCTTACAGACCTACATATATGCCCATTTGTAGAAATTAATCTACATTCAAAAAACTACTTTTGTTGGAAAATTGTTTCATATATCTCCAGTGTCGGGGAGGGGGAGAGGGGGCGGGAGGGGGAGGGAGAAGTTTTCCAACTATATAACTTTTAAGCCAATGCTCTCCAGTTTGCTCTGTGAAAGAGCATTCATTTATTAGCCAATTCATGTTCAAGGTTTGAAATGATTGGAAAGAGATACCACCAGAAATACTTACGTAGAATCTAACTTTGTCCCATCCATCAGTGTTACGTTATAGTGATACTTGACATAATCTCCTTTTTTGGACAACACCCCGCAGTCACTGGGTTTATGATAGGTTTTAATGGCTACTTCATCAGATGGGTTATGGAAATCAATCATGTGGATATCAAAAACAAGGACAGCAGAGCCAGGAATCTTTCCATCTAATTAATATGTATGAAAAAGGAGAATTGGTTAGTCCCATCAACAACAACTCGTATTTATATAGTGCCCTTCATGTGGGTAGAGTATTGGATTGCTTAAAGCTCAAGGTTAATTTTCAGATAGGTTGGCCGATCAGAAACAGATTCAGAATGATTTTTTAAAAATAAAATTCCAAACATTGAAGAATACTGCTCTATGCTGCCTTCCAGGCCAATATATGCAAGGCCCAGAAGCTAGAAATGGAGCACAAATTATTTGAAACTGAACCCAGGGAACCAATATTTTTGATCTTTGCTCAACTCTTGTTATCCTAATATTATAATTTTCTGCCCTCTTCTATTGTACATATACATATAAACACGCACAATCACACACACAGGCTTGTAATCCTATTCAGAGCCTGTCTATCTCATCTAGAAGTGATAACAATGATAATAATCCTTGCATATGATGCAACACCTTAGCAACACCAGTGAAACATCTCAAAGTGCTTCACAGGATTTAACTGTAAAGTGTTATGATGTATTTATTGTAAACCTCCTTCCCAGTTCCTCAGAAATAATTCCTAATGAAAACAAAATCAAATAATCGTACAGTACTGAAACATATACTGTAAGTTTGTGCTGGTGTTTTTCTCCACATGAGCCAATCTAACCTCTCTCCTGCTCGATCACCACACCCTTTAATATTCCTCCTCCTCTTCAAGAATCTAATCAATTACCTTTCAAAATAATCCACGGACTCGTCTTTACACAGAGGTTGATGAGAATGTGGATTTCTCTGACACATATGGTTTGTGTCAGAGAAATCCACATTCTCATCACCCTCTGTGTAAAGATTTCTTTTTTTTAACTTGTGCCTGCTTATTACTGACTTGAAGATCATGAAGATTTATGTGAATCATAATACAGTGGAAGCCGGTTAAGCCGGATAAATCTGGGCCAGCCATTTTGTCCGGCTTAAGCAGCATCCGAGGTTAACCAAAGTTCCATTACCTCTTCCCGCCCAGCAGAGGAGCGGCAGCGGCACCTTCTCCCTCCCATTGGATGGGAAAGGGATCAATTAGCAGTGGCTCCAAGGTAACTGACAGTGTTGGGGCTGTATGTGAATGTTTGGACACTTCATCCATTCACAAGTGCCTCCAGCTGTCAATCAACAGGATTGACTCCTTCCTTCCCTCCCTTGATTCTTCCCCAATCCTCCGCCCCCTCATTGATGGACAGCCGAACTCCAGCCGCTTGTGAATGGCTGGAATCTGCTGTCAATCAATCACAAATTAACTCCTCCCATCTCTATCCTGGAGCCACTCGTAACACAGAAGTTGTAAGTCAGTACATTCAGCGGCGACCAGCGCGGCATTTTATCCGGATGAATCGAATTGTTGTACATATTAACTGGCATATTTAAAACAAGTAAGAATACAAATGAATCGGGGCTGGCCATTTTGTCTAATTTGCCCAATGTCCGAGGTTACACGGTGCCCGGCTAAAGTGGCTTCCACTGTACATTGTAATTCTTCATAATTTGAAAACCTCCATCTGTTCACTCCTTAACCTTCTCAGCTCTAGTGAAAAAGCTAAATTTCAAAGCCTCTCTTCATAACCAAAACCACTCATCCCTGGTAACATTCTTGTAAATCTACACTGAACCTTTTCTGTAATTTGTTGTTGTTCTATTGTTTTTATCTCTTTCCTATATTGCCCCACCCACAAAAAAAACAATGCACAATAGACACACTATGGCCTATCCAGTTTATTACTTACTACTTCCTAACTTTTGTATTCTATGCCTGTTCGCATATCACAAACTTATTAACTAATTTTCAGCCCAGGTGAAATATGTGGACAAACAGACGCATGTATAAAAGCACATCCACTGGAAATGGCACCTCTAATACATTACCCACACACACCCTCCAATGTACTTTACTTACCTATTCCCTCTTCACCATATCCCAAATGAGGTGGTATGATTATCCTTCTTCGCTCTCCAAAACACACATTTAGTAGCCCTTCATCCATCCCTGCAATAACAAATTTTTTTCCGATGTATGTGTCATAGGTGTGGTTCCGGGAATAGCTGACAAAGAAACCAGATATTTACAAATACACCAGACTTCAGATATAACATTCTGGGAAACATTAGAACCTATTAGCTCAGATGCAGTAATTCTCTCTCTCTCGAAACGTACATACAAAATATAGATGTCAATAGTAAGATTAGATATTACATTTTCTTTTATGGTAATGTTATCTGATATGGTAGTCACATAAGTATTGAATCCTGAATGTATACTATGCTGCCCCACCGCATCACATGATGTAAATCTACATCAATGTGAACTCCTTCTAAGCACCTTCGGAGCAGTTTCTGTAGTCTGACATCTCGCCCATCCAGTTATTAGTTACAGGTCTCATTTAGGCAGCCCTCACTGCCATCAACCTGCACCTAATACTCTTTGGTATTGGGTAAGCAGGCTGTGTCCCTCCAAGGAGAGAGTCTGCATTCCATTCCAGACCAGGAAAATTTCCAGGTGTAGGTGGTATATACATGTGGAACTCTCATTCTGGTCTGCGTATTCTTGAGCCATGGTGATGGGATTCCACATGTATCAGATGCTCGCTTAATTTTTACATATGTGGCATATGTATCAATTTATGCACGTATTATTTTATAAAGGATAGTATTCAATGATCACATCACCAGTCTCACCAAACAATTTTCCGCAGCTAATTTTCAGTGTATTAATCATCCTTCTAAACTGGTGCACATGGATCAAGTATATATAATTATTGAAGTTGTGTCCACTAGCGGTTAGCTTCTTTGTCCTAGCAGGTTTACTAAAATAATTTGTAGCTCATGAACTAAAATCCAGCTTTGTCCCTTCCAATCATAGCTAATATCATTTCCATAGCAAAACATCACGAGCTGGTGTTCACATTCCACACTTCAAGCAACGTAACATAATGTACCCGACTGTCTGACACCATATAGCGAGAATTCAATACAAACTTTCAACAAGTAAAGAAATTCACTGATTTTTTACATAAAGGAAATTATTCTGATTAGGAAGATTTTCAGAACTGCTTTTCTTCTTTTAATAAACACTGCACTAAAATTAACAGAAAGAACTAGTATATCTGACACCAGGTAACCAGCTGCCTAGGACTCAATGGTTGTAGAGATTGCAACAGATTTTTTTTGGGGGGGGTGGTCAGTCAGGTGTCTGAAACATGCAGAAAAACATCACTATGCTTAAAAATATCCAAACTAAACTGAGAGTTCCATGCATCCCACTTATACACTAAATAATTATTGGAATGAAATGTTCACTCTCTCCCTGGAAGGTCCCATCCTGCTTACCTAATTCCAAAGCGTATTAGGTGCAGGTTAGCAAGAGACAAGGCTTAGGGACCCTAGAGTATGCGTTGAGTTACTGCTAGAGTCTAACCAGCTAAATCCGCATCACTTGCCATTGATATCGCTATCTGGCAAGCTTTCTCACTGCTTGTCCAGCTAGTACTACCCTGCCTGTAAGGGCTTTGGTTTGCTGGGTTGACAGAAGCTGAATGGGAAGAATCCCTGCTCCCAGAGACAGGTTGCCTTTCCATGCCTTGCTGTGCTGTCATCAGCAGTGCCCCAGAGTAATTCTGCAAAAAAATATACAATCCACACAAAACTTTTCTTTTTTGAGCCAAAGGTCTACAAACACTAGTTTAAATATCAGGCTTTTTGTTAGCTGTGATCAAATACACTTGAATTGGGAGTCACTCAACAAAACCGTACCTTGAATCAAATAAAGTACCATCCATAAGTGTGGCATTGTAATGATACCTAACAAAATCCCCTGCTTTACTCTTCCTGGGACAGGGATCAGGGACAAATTCCGTCTCAATGGCAATAAGGTCTTTAGGATTGTGGAAGTCAATCAAAAGTATGTCAAACACCAGGGTAGCCTGCGAAGGTATGTCTCTTCCTGCAGAAAACAGAAAACATTTAAAGATATACAGTTATTACAACTTAAATAGCATCTATTATATAGGGTGAACAGCAATAAGTGCCTCTGAGAGTCTTTAGGAACCAAGGAGAAGTGTGATGAGAATGTGAAGGTGTTGACCAAATGCACTGCCAAAGACATGGTTTGAAGTCAGAGCAAGGCAAAAGGATTGGCAGGGGTGGGGAGAAGAGGAGAACGATTAGTGCTTCAATCCTCAGCCATCAATTGTAGTTTAAGAGGTGGTTCCTTCTCCAGATCTGCTTTGCCTCAAGACCATCCCAAGTCTGCCTCACGACTTTCCCCTTTGACGGTGTTGCATCCATCTTTTTTCTCTGACCACCCCCCACACCCCCACAAGGCCAATACGCAGATACAAGGGGAATAACGGGATTTCATCAGATATTATAAATTCAACACATTGTTCAAATTCACAAGATAAATCAAAACAGATTTACCCCATTTAGATCTGCATATTGTGATTCAGTTGACATGTTTGGCCAGACATGTTCCTATCAAATTGACAAAGCATAATTTTCAAAGGTATTCACTAAACAGGCTCACTAAAACATGGAAACAGTGTATCAAGTACCACAAGTAGTACAGAATGACAGTTATACCTAATTCCCAACTTGAACTAATTCCCAACTATACAAATATAATTGTGTTGTTGTTGTTACAAAACCATGATCTCAGCAGAACTACAACTGGAAATCAATGACATTGATCAAATCTGTTTAAATATGCCCAAGTGATACAACATTTTAAAAAAAAACTCTCAATGGCTTACCGTCTCCCTTCTCTCCATATCCCAGGAAAGGTGGGACAGTGACGATTCTCTCCTCTCCTATGCACATACCCAACAGCCCCTCGTCCATACCAGCGATCAGCCAGCCGATTCCAACATAGGTGTCATAGGTCCGCAGGCGATTGAGGCTACAAGGACAAGAAATCACTGAGCAGAGCAGAGCAAGACTTCTGACACAGAAAGTAAACTCTGGATCTCGTTCAATGTGATGAGATACAGTTGAAGGACAATTTGCCCACCAAAAGCAAACAGAAATTCGGGGGTGGGGTCAGACAGAAACAATGCAATGTGTTACCTGGAGTCAAACAGGGTACCGTCGAGCAGAGTGCCATTGTAATGGTAACGCACAAAATCTGACACCTGGACTGTGCGTGTGCAGTTTTCTGGGATGTAATAAGCATCGATCTGAACTTTATCTTCAGGACTCCAGATGTCAAGCATCAGCACATCGAAATATAAAATAGCATCGGCGGGGATTACATCGGCTGTGCAAATAACATAGATATGTTTTTTTAAATTAAAAAAAAGTTGGTTAAATCCATATCGATTGATACTCGGAGTTTCAAGAGAAGCATTTAAAGAGGGAGATTTGCAAAATGAACAAATTGGACATTAACTTTTCCATTAAAAAAAATCACTTACGAACTCCTTCATTGCCGTACGCGAGGTGAGGGGGAACCTTTATAAAGCGTCTCTCGTTCACACACATCCCGATCAAACCTTTATCCATCCCGGCGATCAACTGCCCTTTACCCACAAATACATTGTATGTGGAGCCTCTGTCATAGCTGAAACACAGTGTAGGGGTCAAATTGTAGTTATTGAGCACACATCAGGATCAATTTAGGATCACTTTGAGCTATCAGTCTCCATTCTCTCCATATCCCAGGAAAGGTTGTACAGTGACCATTCTCTCCTCTCCTTGTAGGCAATTATTTCAATTGTAGGCAAAGAAAAAGTTTCCAACGTCCCTCTGGGCGTAAAACCAATAATAATCATTGCATTTGATATAGCGTTTTTCACGTCGGGAGGACGTCCCAAAGCACTTCACAGAACACTGTAAAGTGAATTGACTGTATATTTGTGGGTGAATGTGGCAGCCAATTGCGCACAGCAGTGTCCACAAACAGTCGTAGATTGAAAATGACCAATTTGTGGAGTCCTGTAGCTCAGTGGTTAGAGCACTCGTTTTGCAAGCGAGAGACCTGAGTTCAATTCCAGGCAGAGGGCGAAACCTTGGGCAAGTTTCCTTACTCCACACAGAGCCTAATAATAATCCCTCCAAAACCAAAAACAATAATAAATTGGTCATTTTCAATCTACGACTGTTTGTGGGACATTGCTGTGCGCAATTGGCTGCCGCGTTCGCCCACAAATATACAGTCAATTCACTTTACAGTGTGTTCTGTGAAGCGCTTTGGGACGTCCTCCCGACGTGAAAAGCGCTATATCAAATGCAAGGATTTATAATTATTATTATTATTATTATTGTTGTTGTTTGTGGTTTTTGGAGGGATCATTAACTGAATTAAAAGATGCCAACAGTAAAGATGTCAATGGAAGAAGCGAAGGCGGCGGATCTGCTCCAGAGAAATACAATAAGAAAAGGAGTAAACCCCTCCCCCTAAATGAATGAAACCTGTACTCGTGGACAGTCTGTGGGTCTCTCATTTGCAACCACACTGCCGGGCGGGGACTGAGCCACTGGGTTTCACGCCACAGCAACAAAAATAAACCAACACCGGTTGCCATTTAAAGCGATTGGCAATGCTGTCGCTCTCCACTTTACAGTAGTTTTACACTTTGCAACAGACGTCGTCCATCGCTTTGAAACGAAATCCGTACTTAACGCGGTGGTGGGGGTCGTGCAAACAGAGATAGTCACGACAACAATAATAATAATAATAATAATCCTCGCGTTTGATACGAGCAAATTACCAGACGCCTCAAAGCGCTTCCCGTGATATACCGCCGAGTGGAGTGACTGTACCTTTCCGTGGGCGAAACTTGGCCGCGAAACCGCGCACAGCGACGGCCCCGCAGACTGCCCCGGGGGAGGGGGAGCCCCGTACTTACCTGGAGTCGAACTTCTTCCCGTCGGGAAACGTGCCGTGATAGTGATAGCGGACAAAGTCTCCCGCCCTCACCGCCCGGACGCAGCGCTCGGGCTCGAAGCTCCTCTCCACCGAGATGTCGTCTAATGGGACGGGCGGCGCGTTACACGACACGAAACCCACTAAAATCGCCTGGAAAATCATGAACTCCCAACAGCAGCTCATATTTCTCCTGAAGTGACTAAAAGTGTCTGGAAGTTGTCTTAAAAAAAAACCCCTCACTCTCTCTCTCCCTCTCTCTCTCTCTCTCTCCTACACCCCAAACGCCCACCCCTTCGCCTCACAGGAGTCGCGCCCCGCAGCTACACTGCGTAATATTTGCAAACGTGTAGACTCTCGCCCCCCCCCCTCCCCTCCTCCTCCTCTTCCTCCCCACCACCACCAGCCTTTTTTTTTAGTTGTCCAGACTGCTGCACTATGTAAGGCTTTGACCCCAAACTTCCCCGAACGCAAAGGATAATTTTTTTTTCCACGCAACAAAATCACTGCCCGTCTCTGCTGCGCGTTTTGCAGAGTTAATTTAATGAAATCGGTTCGTTTCAACAGCGCCCTTTGATATCTGTGAGGTTTTTTTTTGAGAGGTGGGGGGGGGGTGTTGGGGAAAAAAAAGTTACAAACTCCTATTTGCATGAGGACCCCGTGTTATAGGGGGGGGGAGAGGGAGGGAGGAGGGGGGGGGGCAGCTCACTGCGGGCACCCAAACGTGATGGTTCTCACGGCCCAGTATTGTGGGCGCTTCTGCTGTTGGCGATTGGTGGCGTCTCCCGCGCTCCGCCGTGTCATTGGCTTTCCTGCAAGTCAATCATTCCCTCCCCCCACCCCCCCCCCCCCGGGAAAGTTAGGTTGCGGGGCAGCTGGAGCCGGGACTGCGGTCACACACACCCACACACACACAGAGAGAGAGAGAGGGAGAGCGGTGCAGGTCCTCAGTGCTCGTGTGGTTGTGGAGGGTTGAGACCAGAAGCCATGGACCGCTGTGTGGCGGTCTGGGCGCTGATGGCCTTCCTGTGCGCCAGCGACGCCCAGTACGAGAAGTACAGCTTTCGCAGTTTCCCTCGGGACGAGCTGATGCCGCTGGAGTCCGCGTACCGCTACGCGCTGGACCAGTACACGGCCGAGAAGTGGCTGGAGACCGTGGAGTACCTGGAGATGAGCCTCAGGCTCTACCGCCTGCTCAAGGACAGCGAGGCTTTCTGCAACCTCAACTGCAGCACCGCCCGACTGGACGACGAGAGCCACTTCGGGCAGTTCACCGAACTCAAGGTCTTCGGCAACTTAATGAAGAGAGCGCAGTGCCTGAAGAGGTGCAAACAGGGGCTGCCCGCTTTCCGGCAGTCTCAGCCCAGCAAGGACACCCTGGAGGACTTCGAGAAGCGAGAGCCCTACAAGTTCCTCCAATTCGCCTACTATAAGGTGAGCCGAACGATTATTTTTTTTTCTCTCTCTCTCTCTCTCTCTGGATCGAAAGATCTCTTAAGATTACTTGACAGCAAAGAGCTGCCTTTCTCTCCCCCCCACACACACACACACACCCCACCCCCACCCCACACACACACCCCACCCCCCCCCCCACACACCACACCCCACCCCCACCCCCCCCACACACACCCCCACCCCACACACACACCACCCCCCCCACACACACCACACCCCACCCCCACACACACACCGCACCCCCCCCACACACCCCCCCCCCACACACACACCCCACCCCACACACACACCCCACACCCCCCCCACACACACACCACACCCCACACACACACACAAACCCCTCACCCCTCCCTTTAGATCCATCCATCCCTCCATCCATCCATGTGGTGTTTGGGGCTATTTTTCACACGTGTCCTGGAAATGTGAGGAAATGTGGCAGTGTGTCTGATCGTCTTCATACAGTTTTTTTTTGTTTGGACGCCTTCAGCCACCCACACCCTCAAATAAAGTACCACCAGGAAGTCGAGTTTTAAAATGCATGACCAGAAACTGATCTGAACAACACTCCCCCTTTTTTTAAGGTATATATGTTGTCTTGGCTGCTTGCCCTGTTGCAGCGGTTACTTAACAGTATTTGCAGCCCCTTTGCATGACTTTTCTAGTGTCCCGACTGTCTTCTCAGGCTATTCCTGACACACTTCAAAGCACGATGTAATCTGTGCAATTTTTCAAGGATGTTTGGGAACCAAGGGCATAAAGTGCCCTGATCTTTTCTGTGCTCTGTAACCTGTCTCACCCTAACTCTGCAGCCAGCAAGGAGCTGACATGACATAAAGCGGCTGCTCAGGATTGTTGGCATAGCTGTTTCAGGAAACATTATTAACCTGAACCCTGTGGCGAATTTTCCTAATCTCTTAAATTGCTCGCTTAGCTATTTTTTGGCACAAAGTGTAAAATGATACAGAAAAGGCTTTGCCTGTCATATTGCAGTTGATACTATTGGTTATCAGGGAGCCTTGGGATTGTTTCAACAACAACAATAACTTGCACTTGTATAGCGCCATCCATTCAGGTTAGGGTCTCAGAGCGTCTCAGTTTCAGTGGTGATCACTGCTGGAGCAGATTAGAGGTTTTTTTCACGTGTTGTTAGAATAGTGTCATTTTTTTTGGTCATCTGGGTGTCTGGCACATGTGGAAACCTATCACCATGCTTAAGAGTATTCAAACCAAACCATGAGATTTCTATGCATCCCACATACATATGGAAATCCCGGAGATGGCGTGTTGGAATGGAATGCGCACTCTCTCTCTCTCTCTGGAGGGCCGCATCCAGTTTACTTAATTCCAGAAAGTATTAGCCGCAGGTCGGCAAAAGCCAAAGCTTGGGTTCCCAGAGTGTGTGTTAGGGTATTGCTGGAGTCTAACCAGCTAAAACCACACAGCTTGCCATTGATACCGCTGTCTGGCAAGCTTTCCGCTGCTTGTCCAACTGGGACAAGCCCTGCTTTGCCAATCTTGTTGCCACAAAGCCAAATTCAAGTTCCAGCCTCAAATGGCACTCATACTCTGGTTTTCACAAAAGCCCGAGTTTACATGTTTTGGTCTATTTGAGAAGGTAAAGGACAATATTCAGCATTTTCCCCTTTCCCGTGGCCCATGACCCTCCATGATAAGTCAAATTAGCAGATAGTATTCATTGATGTGCTTGGGGCCATCAAGAAAACAAGGGAAATTATATGGTTTTGTACACCTTAGCAGTTGTTCAGCTGGAAGAATACAGCAAAACAAAAGATATTATGCATGTACAGTTTTATGTAGACTTAGAATGAAAAAAACATAATTACTAAGTAAGTCAATATTATAGTAGTAAAATGTGGTGCTATTTATCTGCATGTCCATTTATCCACATTTACCATGGATGTTGGGATATTGGAATTCAATCTTGCAAGGTAAGGGTTATGCAGTGCAGTATTCTAATATAGTGTAGGATTAGGGCCGGAGAGGGGAAGGAAGAGGTAGGACCAAAGTGGGTTAAGATAGTAGCAGTATGACTCTTGTTGGAATAATTTTTAGTAGGTGCTGTATCCAGTTTCTTTTAGAGAGCTGTCCGATTATCTGCACTGTTTTGCTTATCAAAGAAGTGGCGCTCAATCCCAATTTGTGTGGATAATTTTCTCCCTTTTTTTTTGAGGTAAATAAAATTGGTCATTCACTTCACAGCTGCATGTTGGACATTGCTATGTCCAAACTGCCTGCTGCTTTCATCTCCAAATGCACAGTCATTATACCTTACAGTAAATCCTGTGAAGCACTTTGAGGCAACAAGGACAAATTGCATTTATATAGTGCCTTTCACTTTGGGAGGACATCCCAACGCGCTGGACAGAGGAGTTTCAATAACCTGAAACAGCGCTATAATAAAATGCAAAGATTATTATAATAGGTAGCTTTGAAAATTAATGGAGGTTAAAAGCAACATTTTCTTTAACAAACTGCAGCCTTTTCTTTTTAAAAAATTAGATTGCTGGCAGGTCTATGGAAGGTCCTTTGCTCCCATTGACCTGATAGAGCTCAGATAAGCAAACACATCTGTGGTACTTAAAGAGTTGAGAGAAGTACACACAGTTGCTGGTAAATTACCGGTGTCTGAATTATACATTGTTTATATTTTGCTCCATGAATGCATTTTCTGCAAACTACTCCTGTAGCTCAGTGGTTAGAGCACTCGCCTGTGAGACACCTGAGTTCAATTCCAGGCAGGGCGAAACTTTGGGCAAGTTTCCTTGCTCCACACGCCGAATAATAATCCCTCCAAAACAAAACAATAATAAATTGGTCATTTTCAATCCACGACTGTTTGTGCGACACTGCTGTGCGTAATTGGCTGTCGCGATTCACCCACAAATATATGGTCAATGCATTTTACAGCATATTCTTTGAGACATCTAAAAGACGTGAAAAGCACTATATCAAATGCAAGGATTATTATATTACTTCTGCAAAGGAACTTTAAACGGATGCTGAAGAACAATGTAGATCGGCAAGTCTGCAATGAGATGGCACAAATTTAAGCCCAAAAAAAGGAAAGGATAGTGGAAAACATTATATAGAGAGTGGTTTGAGTTTGGACTTCTCTACTATAAACCATAGTTCAAGCAGACTCCATAAATTATTTAAAAAGAGAATTAGAAAAATGCTTGAAAAAGAGGGATATTAAAGAATATGTGGAGCGAGCAGGAGAATGTGAATAGTTTAGGTGTTGATGTGAAGAGAAACACCAGTACAGACTTGATGTATGGATTGACCTATTTCTTTGCTGTAGCATTCTATGATTCTAAGTATATTACAGTAAATCAGTACAGCGGACACTGAGTGCTGATCATGGAGATATATTGAGGTGTTTGAATTCTGACTCGGTGATTCTTCTGATGACTTCCAAGTTTTGTTTCTTTAAATATGCCTTTATATTAATCCAAATAAACATTGCATAATTGTTTGTTCTGTGATGTTTTATGCTCTTCTGTTTGTTTACTTATTCCTAAGAATGTATATGATCCTGCATTTTTAGTCAAACAACATCCCAAAGGCTATATCGGCAGCACACACCTTTCTTCAAAAACACCCCAATGATGAAATGATGCTGCGGAATATGGCTTATTACAAGAGTCTGCCAGAGGCGGATGATTTCATGAAGGACCTGGAGATAAAAAACTACGAGGCAAGTGATTATACATGGAGATTCACAAATTTACTACTTTAGGAAATACTATGATTTGTCTGTGCAAAATATACCACTTGTCTTCATAAGTGTAGGTGCAGGAGCAGAAGGTTTACAGCAGATCTTTTTGTGCAATTGATCATTGATAAATGGGAAACAGTTTGAGGGAAGAGTGCATTCCAAATTTTTGCAGTCCTGATATCTACTCGGGAACTAAAAATAACTTCAAACGTTATGCTGTTAGATTGTTTCTAATGTTATATTATGATTGAGTTATTGGGACACAAAATTACTTGCAAAGGTTTGTGAATTGCAGACTTACAACAACAACAAAATTAAATTTGTAAAACGCCTTTCACGTCGGGAGGACGTCCCAAGGAGCTGGACAGACAGAGTCATGGACCCGAGCTGGGGGTCGGGGAGAATGGAGGGCAGGGGAGGTAGGGGGGAGATCGAAAGCATGGTCGAAGAGAAGGGTCTTGAGATGGGTCTTGAAGGGGGCGAGGCGGAGGGACTGCGGGGTGGAGTTCCATAGGCTGGGGGCAGAATGGCAGAAGGCCCGCCCGCCAATAGTGGGGCGATCAAGGTGGGGGACGTGAAGCAGACCGGAGCCCGCTGAGTGGAGTGAGCGAGCAGGATGATCGGGAATTAGGAGGTCACAGAGGTAGGTGGGAGCAAGTTGGTGGAGGGCTTTGAAGGTGAGGACCAAGATCTTGAACTGTATCTTCTGTGTGATGGGAAGCCAGTGGAGTTGGGCGAGGATGGGGGTGATAGGGTCGCGAAGCCTCGTGCGTGAGAGGACATGGGTTGCAGAGTACTTGTCAAACTGCAAATTTTTAAAAATTATTTTAGAAATCTATTGTAATACTCTGCAATTCCTCTCATTGAGCATTGTATAACCAGACTTTTGCTATCTTTTAGAACCTGTTTGTCAGAGCAGTAAAAGCATATAATGGTGAGAACTACCGTACTTCTGTCACAGACATGGAGCTGGCAATACCTGACTACTTCAAAGCGTATGATGAGTGCATTGCTGCCTGTGAGGGTGCTCGAGAGATCAAAGAGTTTAAAGATTTCTACCCTTCTATAGCAGGTTTGTGTACCTCACTTCACGTCTGAGTTTTGGATTAGTCAAAATGACTTTTTACAAAGAATCATTGATATACATAGCTTTAAAGTAGGGATCATTTTTAAATTGCAATTTTAAACAATTTATTATGTATGAAAAACAAAACTATATGGGGCACTTTTTTAAAATGCATTTCCTACAAAAGGTATTAGGAATCATTACGTGGGGGAGAGGTATTGAGATTGGAAAACTATTGTCAGTAGAGTGTCACTCGAATTCACTGCTTACTATACTCAAATTACTCTTCGGAGAACTGCACTGATATAGCATCCAGAAATTCTAGTATTTTCCAGAGATAATAATAATAATAATAATCCTTGCATTTGATATAGCGCTTTTCACGTCGGAAGGACGTCCCAAAGCGCTTCACAGAACACACTGTAAAGTGAATTGACTGTAAATTTGTGGGCGAACGCGGCAGCCAATTGCGCACAGCAATGTCCCACAAACAGTCGTAGATTGAAAATGCCAATTTTATTATTGTTTTTGGTTTTGGAGGGATTATTATTAGGCGTGTGGAGTAAGGAAACTTGCCCAAGGTTTCGCCCTCTGCCTGGAATTGAACTCCGGTCTCTCGCTTGCAAAGCGAGTGCTCTAACCACTGAGCTACAGGACTCCACTTTAACGCTGTAAGCACTGTAGAATGCAAAATCTTTCTTATAAATTTGGTCAACGTACACATGCAGGACATGAGCTGAGCACATGTGGTTGAGATGCAGCAAATGGAGAACATACATGAGTAAGAAGGGAATAGAAGAGTATCAGGGGAGCTAGGGATGGGAAATTAGAAGGGATGGAGGCCAATGTGGAGTATAAATGTCACAGACTAGTTAGGATGAGTGGCCTGCTTTTGGGCTGTTGATTCCATATAATTTTGTGCCACACTCTGAAGTGAGCATTAGTTGGAAGGTACAACAACGAATAGAGTCTCCAATGTTCTAACTTACCAAGGGAACCAAGTTCCCAGTTCATCTAGGCACATAAATTAACTATGCAGATGTATTCTATTTACTTAGCATTTTAGAATGTCTAGAATTTGGCAAACTTATAAATTCAGTTTTGAAGTCAGTTTTCTTAGGAACCACGTGTTCCTTATTGCAATGTTGACATCGCTCATCTCAATGAGCACAAAAACATCATTCCTAGGGAATATTTGCCACAAAATACACAGTCAATTCACTTTACAGTATATTCTGTGAGATGTCTCAAAGACGTGATAAGGAACTGTATCAAATGCAAGGATTATTATTACAAGAAATGTACTTTGCAGTATCAACATTTCTATAGGGAGCTTAAAAGAATGTCTGCAGATTTTTAGATTCTTTTGCATTTTTCAATGTTTAACACTGACCAAAGATAGCTGAACCCAATTTGAATATAGACTAAACTTAGTGAATTTGGGTTGTGTGACTTCAGTTTCATAAATACCTGTTTTCTTAAGAATAATTATCTCTTTCATTTTCAGACCATTACACTGAGGTTCTGAAGTGCAAAGTGAAGTGTGAACACGAACTGACTCCTGTTGTCGGAGGATTTTTTGTGGAGAAGTTTGTAGCCACAATGTACCACTATTTGCAGTTTACTTATTACAAGTGTAAGTACTCCAGTAAATTGGGCTCAATGAAGAGGAAGCACTGTGGAGAGGAGTTGCTGGCTGAATAGCCATGTGAAGAAGATCCTTTCTTATGAAAAACTAGAACTTGGAAGCATGTTATATCCATATATCCATATTTCTATATTAGCAACCCGGTGTTTGTCGGTTGTTTTTCTATTTAAGTGAAGCCAGGATAACGGCAGGAAAACTGAAAAATCTGAGCAAAAAGGTTTACTTGAGTGAAAATGTTATGCAAATATACCCTACAAAGAAGGAAAAATCCTGACTAACAAGAGAATTGTAAAGTGATGCCCGATAAACCAGATATGTAAAGCCAGGAAAATCTGCAAATGTACAGAAGAAAATTCAGTGCTCTTGAGGGAAATTCAAAATCTGTTCTGTGATTCTGTGCTCACAGTTCAAGTTAACACCCCATTCCATTGTTAATATTCATGCCTTTTAGTAGTCCTGTTCAAATTCGAGAGGCTTTGAGGAATTTAGATTGAGGCATGCACCCAATTCACATGTTTCTTAAAAACTAGAACTGCTCTGCAGTGGCTTTTCAAATAACGAACTTTTAACAGGATTTACCAACCAATCCTTGATAACTAATACATTAAGAATCTTTGCATTTGGTATAGTACCTCATCATATCAAAATGTTTCAAATCATTTCATAATACTGATTGTGTATGTAGGCAAATGCAGCATCCAGTTTGAGTCCAGCAAGGTCCCACAAAGAGCCAGAAGCTGAATGACTGATTTAACTGGGGACTTTTGGCAAGACATTGGGAGAAACTCACTTATCATTTCAAATATTGCTATGGGTACTTTAATGACCATTCTGCTTTCTTATATCTGAAAGATCCCTCCTTGAAGTTGAGAAACTATGCTTAAAATGTGAGATTAGGACATAGAATGGTAAATATTGAATCCTGCTGGTAATAGAGCGTCGCGGCAACCTGCAGGAATTCTGCCAGATTCCACAATGTCCTCAAGTGCGCCCAAATAGTCTGCACAGCTGAGCAATGGTTTCTGGCTTATGATCTAAAGCACCTGCTTGAATTGTTGAAGTAACCTGTTCTGACGTATTATTAAATTGATCATTCACTTCATTGTTGTTTGTGGGCCATTGCTGTGTGCAAATTGAAACTAATAATAATCCTTGCATTTGATATAGTGCCTTATCACGTCTTCGAGTCATCTCAAAGCACTTTCACAGAATATACTGTAAAGTGAATTGACTATATATTGTGGGCAAAACCCGGCAGCCAATTGCACTTAGCAGTATCCCACAAACAGCCATAGATTGAGTGACCAAGTTATTACTTTATTATTTTGGTTTGAAGGAATTATTACCCTCAAAAAAAGCGATCGGCAAATTGACTAACAACCGGGTTCCTACTTACTGCTAGGTAAACAGAGGAGTGTGGAGTAAGGAAACTTGCGCAACATTTCGGCCTGCCGGGATTCAAACCCAGGTCTCACTTGCGAAGTGAGCACTGAGTTACAAGATTCCACTAAGTTTCAGCAAATGTATTTGAAGTCAGTGGATTACTCTTTACACTGCCGTGATTTCTCTCACATATTCAAAGCGATGTAGGCTTTCTATTGGTAGAGTTGCACCCTGTAATACAGGCTGTATATTAATAATGTTAAGGAAACAATAGATTGATGTGTTGCAATATAAGCCCAGAAGTGTACAACCCTTCTTAAACTGCTTACCTGTGCTCTGTCTTTCAGTAAGTGATATGAAGAATGCTGTTCCATGTGTAGCAACCTACTTGCTATTTGATCCAGATGATGAAGTGATGAAGCAAAATATGGTGTATTATCAATTTCACAAGGAGAACTGGAGCCTCACTGATGAAGATTTTCAGCCCAGACCAGTGAGTAACTAACTATAGTGACGTGTGACAGTAAAAAAAAATGGGGGGACTGGCGAGAAAGAGAAGAGTCAACGTTATATAAAAAGTATACAAATGAGAATCTATTACAGATCTAATGTGTACTTTTGTACCTATTTCATTAATGACACTAATTTAAGTTGTAAGCAGACATAATAATATTAATCATCATTCTTACACATATATATATATATATGTTAAAAAAATCTTTTTTTTAAAAATAGCATTCTGTTCTGTCCTTGTTTAATGCTGTCTGAACTTGACATGATGAGCAAAGATTCATCTCCTACCTCTACGTTTCTTTCATCTGTTCAAACTAATTCACAAAATTATTGTAGCACATTTAGAGAATGAGATTTCTAACATTTTATCTAAAAAGGAGGATTTCTGCTCAAGGTGTGTTCTAACTAATAATAGTGCTGGCATCTGTGCCATGTTAGAGAGTGAACATTCTGGATCCTCACTTAGTTATCACACATCATATGTGACTATGTGTGTTGAATATCAAAATCACAAAATGAGTGTTACATAAGATTTTTTTTACCCACAGTTGATTTCTCCACAATTCACTGGCTACAGTGGTAACTAAAACTTCCTTCCATTAAGAGTTTTATTGTCCCTAAAGCAGCATGTTGTGACCCTTTTCTCTCGCTGATATGTGTTCTCTCTATCTCTCTGATACATTCTCAATCTCTCTTTTTCTCACTCTGCTGTTCTCTCGGTTTTTCTGTGAGTTTTTCTCTTTCTCTGACTTTATCTCCATTTCTTACTCTAACCATAATAGTTGTAGTAACTTAACTATGTGCCTATTAGCCTCATGTGAACAAACTTTGATCATACCCAAACAGGATTTCCCCCCCACTATTTTGCTGCCCTATGTTCATTTTTGCATGGGTTTATAAACCAAAATCCACAATAGTAGTTGGCTCCTTCGATGAACTAAAAAAAAATCAAGTGTATATAGAATAATTATTTATTGCATTTATTATAGAGCATTGAGAAAATATTCAAAGCACTTCACAGAATACATTGTGAAGTGGTGTGACTGCATTTTGCAGCCAATTTAGAATGTGTGAAACTCTTGTCTGAATACTTTTAAGCATCGTAATTGTGTTTGCACGTGTGTCAGACACCTAAGTGATCAAAATATACTGCTGAGAAAGCTTGATTGATCGAATGCTTTCTATGACTTAATTTCTATGATTCTTTACTCCTGAAAGACCGTGCCCCAGGGCTCAAAATGTTGTGGTAATTGTTTTGCTTTTTTACTGTTGCCTTGTAGGAGGCCTTGCGATATTTCAACCAGACTACGTTTCAGCGCCAGATGTATGAGTTTGCCATGGAGCATCTGCAAGATGATGATGAGGTAAGCAGTGATGGCTGTGTCATCAGATTGAGATGTAGCGCAGCATCAACTGCCCTGTGATAACCATTTGGGGTTAGGGTTAGGGTTAGGTCTAATTCGCCACTTATATTAGGCTTTGAAGTGGAGTCCTGTAGCTTAGTGGTTAGAACACTCACCTCACAAGCGAGAGGACCTGGGTTTGTTAACCAAGATTCTTTACTCCACACGCCTGATTACCTAGCAGTAAGTAGGAACCCAGTTGTTGGCAGATCACTTTTCTGGGGGTAATAACCCCTATTTTAAAAATATTAAATTACAATAATAATTAAGCCAAGTCAATTCATGACTGTTTATGGGACACTGCTGTACGCAATTAGCTGCCGTGTTTCGCCCACAAAGTACACAGTCAATTCAATTTACAGTTAGTGCTTTGTGACGTCTCAAAGACGTGATAAGGTGTTATATCAAATGCAAGGATTATTATTATTAAGATGACTACATCTGTTGTGTTAGAAGGGATGACTTTTGCTCACTACCTCTGGGAAGTTGCTGCGTGAAAATTGTTAATGTGAATCCATCCATTTCATTCAAGCATTCAGTCCCCTCCCGTTTCTCACCGGTTCAGCATCAAGCTCCGCTATTGTGTAATCCAAGACACTACCGTACATGAAGGGCACTACATAAATGCATGTTCGTTTGTTTTTTTTAACAAGTATTCAGCTCTGTGTAAGAGCACCAATTTGCTGCGCTACTCTGCTAGTTTCATTGTTCTCTTGCCAATTTTTTACACTCTGTTTGACACCTTTTTCCTTCCACTGAAATAATTCTACAGCCACGGATTCTGAAGCACCCATTTCATAGATCTCCATCTTTCCTCCCAACAGTGCCCGTTGCCTTCATTCCACCGGGTCTGGCCTCCTCCTTGTCCCCCGAGTCCTCCGCTCCACCCTCGACGGCCGTGCCTTCACCCATTATGTCCCGAGGCTCTGGAACTCCCTTCCTCACTCCCTTCCCCTCGCTTCCCTCACTTCCTATTTTCAGGTCTCGGCTGAAGGTCTTTCTTTTCAACTGCGCCTTTGGTCACTTTCCTCCCCCTCCCCCTAGCTCGGTCTCGGAATCCGTTACTGTGAAGTGCTCTGAGACTCCGTCCGGCATGGAGAGCGCTATATAAATCCAAGTTGTTGTTGCTTTGTTATAATTCCCTAATGTTTATTTTCTGCTTCTTTCCTTTAGCCTGTTACTAATTTACATCAATGTCTTGCTACCCAAAGACATCAGTTTGTAAAAGAGTTTCTCATGTGGCACCTTGTCAAATGCCTTTTGAAAGTCTAGGTACATCAAATGCCTTTCCATGGTCAAACTGGGATTCCACCGCCTCAAAAAAAAGACTAAAATTCGTTTGACAAGATCTACCTCTTCTGAAGCCTGTCTGTCATATCAGGTTACTTTCATATAGGTTTTTTTCCATTTTGCTTTGAATAAATTGAATTTATTCCAATCAGTGAGGTCAGGTTAATGGGTCTGTAGATGCCAGGTATGATTTTGTCACCTTTCTTGAATATAGGAACCACATTTGCTGGTTTCCAGTCTCTTTTACAAAATATGGTAGACCACAAGAGGGAGCCAAACCCAATGTTTTGACTCCATGTTTGAGTCAAATTACAAGATTCCAAAAGTCAAATTGCTAAAAGTAAATCCTGATGTCTCAGGATGGCTCTCGTGAACTCTGATCTCTTGTTTGATTCTGCATCTCTACCTCTATACCTCTGCCTCATCCTTCTCTATAAATGCCACCTCAAAACTTCCCTCATTGTCCGAGTCTGTGGTTGCCCAGTGCTGTGGGGTCACTATATAAATGCAAGTTAATGTATATATCAATGACCTGGATTCATAGACCCAGTGTAAGATAATTATATTTGCATTTGATACCCAAGTTGGGGAAGTGATGAAATTAAAGGGGATGACAAAGGATCTTGAAGTCGATCTTTTCAGAGACTGGGAGTCAGTTGAATCTGGCTAGGATTGGGGAGTTTGGTGCGGGAGAGGATGTGGGCAGTGGAGTTTTATTTGATTGGACCTTGTGGATGGTTAAACTGGTGGGGGGAACCAGTGGGTAGTGTGTTTGAAAAATGAAGGCGGGAGGTGACAAAGGCTTGGAAGAGGCGGACAATGTATGGGGAAAGCAACCCAGTCAGGAACCAAATGCAAAATAGGAAGGATAGCTGGAGATCAAACTAGATGCGGAGCTTGCACACAGGTTCAGTGAGTTGAACTTACTAAAAGGGAACCTGAAGGAGATCTAGGGTGTTAGTGATCGCCATGTCAAAACAGTGTGATGCAGCAATAAATAAGCCAAGAGGAATGAGTTATGAGCAACGATTAGACAAAATAGGGCTCTTCAGTCTTGAAATAGTCTTCTCAGAGGGAAACTTTTAGAGGTAAAGAGATTTTAAATGGGACCAAGAAAGTAAACTCAGAACAATACTTTCAAATGCACCAGGACAGTAAGACAAGATGAGATTTGAGTTGCAGGATAGTCACCAAGTATTTTTTGCCCAGACCATGATTAATGCCTGGAACAGGTTGGCAGGAAATATGGCTGAGGCCAGGATGCTGGATTCATTTTTTTAAAAAATACTGGTAGGTTATACCACCCTAACTCAGATTGAACTTTATTTTTTAAAAAATTCAGCTAAAACTCTCTTGAGGCCTTAAATTCTACCTCGTCTTAGCCTGCAAGACAATGTTTGTCTTTAAATTTAAGAATTAAAGACTATATTTTAGTCAGCCAGGTATCTTGACACATACGGAAACCCGTCACCATGCTTGAGTATCCAAATTAAACAGAGTTCCTTGCATCCCACCTACATCTGGACATTTCCATGTATTAGAATAGAATGTACCCTCTCTTCCTGAAGGAACACACCATGCCTACCTAATTCTGGAGAGTATTAAGTGCAGGCTGGGGGACCTCAGTGTGTGCATTGGGGTACTGCTGGAGTCTAACCAGCTAAGACCATTTGTCATTAAAAGCACTATCTGACAAGCTTTCTCGCTGCTTATCCAGCTAGAACCATCCTACCCATGAGGGCAGTGGAGACTATGCTGTGGCCCGCAGGCTGTTTGATAGGTAGTGTGATTTTAGTTTTATCTTAATTGAATATTTTTTGATTTGGAGCATAAATCAAGTAAGATTCAATCACAAAAAATAACTTTGGCCACTGCTGCATTCGGAATTTTGGCTTGCAGGGTTAACAGGAGCTGAGTTAGGAAGAGTTCCTGTCCCAGTGCCTTGTTTGCCTTTCCAAGTCCTGCTGATGAGCTAGGCTGGCTGTGCTATCAATACCTCACTCCAAAAGCCGCTGAAACCCTGTTCCATGCCTTTGTCACCTCTCAGCTGGACTATTCAAATGCCCTCCTCACCGGCCACCCATCCACTACCATCCATAAAATCCAGGTCATCCAAAACTCTGCCGCCTGCATTCTTACCCGCACCAAACTCCGCTCCCTGATTACCCCAGTCCTTGCCAGTCTGTACTGGCTGCCTGTCCCGGAGAGGATCGATTTCAAGATCCTTATCCTTGTCTTCAAATCCCTCCACTCCTCTGCACCTCCCTACTTCTCTGACCTCTCTCCTCACAACAGTGCCCGTTGCCTTCGCTCCACCGGGTCTGGCCTCCTCCTTGTCCCCTGAATCCTCCGCTCCACCATCGGCAGCCGTGTCTTCAGCCACTACGCTCCGAGGCTCTGGAACTCCCTTTCTCACTCCCTTCGCCTCACCCCCCTCTTCCTATTTTCAGGTCTCGGCTGAAGACCTTTCTTTTCGACCGCGCCTTTGGTCACCTTCTTCCCCCTCCCTCTGGCTTGTCTCCAGGATCCGTTACCGTGAAGCACTCTGAGACGCCGTCCAGCGTGGAGGGCGCTATGTAAATCCCAAGTTGTTGTTGTTGTATATTGCAAAACACCAGCAGGGATCTGTAGTACTGCAGACCCACCTGGTTCAGGAGATTGCCACAGAGGGTGAGTTCAATTCCGACATTCTGTTGCCAAACATGTCACCCTGGATCCAGTTCAGCAGCTCCACTTTTTTTCCCTCCCTCCCCTCCCAGGAGGTTAGAATTGCACAATATTCTCTTATTCATTCTTAATTTGAAATCCAGTTATTTTTAGGAACTGTAGAAAACCAGCTTACAAATTTAGACTGAATTTTAGGAATTTTCCACAGTTTTGAGCGATTTTAAGACAAAATAATCTTGCAGGCTTACACCACATAGGACTTTCTAAGTTCTTTAGATACATATCCATAAATGTTCATCACTGGGGTAGCTTGATCCTGCAACTGACATCCACTGCTGGAAACTGTTAAAGATTACAGAGACAAATTTAACGCTCTTCAATTGTTTAGAAAAAGTATCTTAATTTTTTTTACAACCAACCATCATAGAAATAATCTTAAGCAAGAGCAAATTTGCCCAAATGTACTTAAAATACTTCTTATCCCAGAGTCTGTATTTGAGCACATATTCTCACATACATGAAGATCTCCTCATGTGCTTGCAAGAAGAAGACTAAAGTTAACAGTGGTATGAAACTTCTAATTTAAACGTACAGTGTGGATTTAACATCCTACACAAAGAACATCAAAGGAAAGTTGAGCATATTTAGATGACCTTTACAACATGTTGTGCCTAATATTTTAATGTTTTTTTCTGAAGAAGCCAGATGATCTGGGTTTAATTGAAATGTATTTATGATACCGAAAGTACATTAAGTTCCAAGTCACTGCCTGTATTTGGACAGTGCTGAGGTCTCACAAGCTGGCAAGACATATATAGGTTTCCCTCCAAAAAAAAAGTAGCTTGTATTGCAAAACACCTTTTTTTTCCAGCATCAAGACACCAGCAAAGCAATCACTTTCCTGAGGAGTTTTATTCAACCTCGAGGGCTTGATTTGATTCTGTGTATGTTTTTTCAAGCAATCAGTAGGGGGAGTCTAAGGCATTGAGAGCTTTCATTCCATC